TCAATGTACAATACATAATTTGAAGGTCATACTTATCATAAACTGATCTTATCTTGAGAATTTATAGTGAAAATCCCCATTTTGCCATTTAGTAAATAAAGAAGGAACGAATTAAGTGAAGAAATTTCTTTTCAATTACTTTTTCATCATGGCTCTACACTAATATATATATATATATATATATATATATATATATATATATATATATAGTGTAGAGCCATGATGAAAAATTAATTGAAAAGAAATTTCTTCACTTAATTCGTTCCTCTTTATTTACTAATGGCATATATATATGAATTGAATGGACTGGAGTTGATCGAGTGGCATGGCTCGGCCATGCAGGCGTGGTCTCTATTCATATTAAATATATTGTTCCTTCTCTAACTTAACCTTGTCCTTCATCATGTATTGGTAATTGATACGATACAGTGAGTTGGCGTAGTCGATGGTGTGACTTCCACGTAAGATCTTATAGATTAGGCAGTTATATCATGACGAATCTACAAATTTAGGATTAGGTCTATTATTAGAGCAGTACTAATATCATAGAAGACCATAATTCTACATATATATATATATATATATATATCTATATATATATATATATATATATATATATATATATATATATATATATATATATATATATATATATATATATATATGATTTACAATAATGATATAATACTCATCGAGTGGATACGTTACGTAATAATTACATAATGACATTTAAGTTAACATTGAGTAATTAGAAGAGGATTATTAATAATCAAAGTAATTATTCGAAAATCAAGACGTTGCTACGTTGCGTAAAATATGAAAAGAGAAGGAACAGAATTTTTTAATGGATGGTCAATAGAATAGTAGTTATGTAAGAATCAAGAGATGAATGTTGAGGAGTTGTAAAGTTCAAAAGCAACAGAAACAAAATTACAAAAGTTAAAAAAAACAACAAAAAAACAACTGGAAGAAGTATGAAAAATAGTTCTTTTGAAGGAAATCTTATACTGATGGCCAGGACAGAGAAAGTGGTTGTACGAATCTCTTTTGAATTCAAAATAGGATTGAAAAGAAATTTCTTCGCTCAATTCGTTCCTTCTTTATTTTGAGAACTAATTAAATTCAAAAAAAAAATAAAAGATTACGAATATTATTTCTTTTGCAATTCGAATGTTCCTTACATTATTACCTAAGTAATACATAGAAATTATACAAAATGATGTATTTATATTTCATTTATAACGAATACGGAATTTGGATATATATTTATGTACTTTGTAATTACTGTCTGAGTTATGAACTTTTAAATAAGAATGACGCTTATATGTACTGATTCATTAGTTGCCCAAACAAAGTATGACTAAACCATGTTCATTCATTCATTATTTTGATGTATCATTTGCAAGGTTAAACAAAGTTATGAAGAAATGTATCTATCAAAAAGAAGGATATATATATATATATATATATATATATATATATATATATAGTGTACTGCATAAAAAGTTATTGTACGTAGTAATACATATATATAATAAATTAATTAAGATTAATCGAATAAAACAAATCACCAACTGATATTGTTAATTAAATATACAATAATAATAATAATAATAATAATGATAGTAATAATAATTAGTTTGACACATTCAGTTTTTAGTTTAATGTGGAAAACATTATTGCGATTTTCCTTAGTTATATGTTTATAATAACATTGATTAAACACATCTATTTATGACTCATTTATGTTTTAAATGTATAATGTATGAAATTATGGTTTCTATAAGTCATCAGTGACTTAATGACCTGATATGTATATCTTCATTTGTGCTAATTTGTTTAAATCAACTGTATAATATTATTAGCTAAACATTTCAAATTTCATTCATCAACCAAGTCAAAAAGATATACATATATACCTATTCCAATGCTTGCCCATCTCATGTATGTGCTTTTTTTAGTATGAATCCATTCACCATAAACTGTTCACCTCTTCTATAAATATAAATAAAAATGATAGGTTCTGTAAATGATAAAGTCAGTGTTAAAAAGATAAAATATATACACATTTATACATACGGACATGGATACATATGAGATAATTTTATGAAATGAAGATGTGAAACGATAATAATAATAATAATAATAAATATTACCATAGCTACTAAGTGTAGTACAGTTTTATGAAGAGTTTCAATAAGGTTTTATTTATTTATTTAGTTGATTAGTTAGTTTTTAACACCTGTCGAAGTATGTTTTATGTGAGATTTGCATTTTGTTCAGTTGAAGATTGTTGTTGTTGTTTGCTTTTTTTTCTTTCCTATTTTCATTTTGGCTTAATACTTTAAATGCCTACCTGTAATTAATTTGCCCATTTCTTCTTTGTAATGTTACAGTTTTGTTTTATTTTGTATATATTTAAAATGAATATCGATGGAGAGACGTTTTTGTATAAAACAAAAAAAAACAAAATAAACTGTATTCTTAATAATTTACTAAGGAGATGATGAATTGATGATAAGTAAGTGGTACTCATATACTAAGGCAATAAATCTAAGCGAATAATTATGTTTGGTCCTAGTAACCAACATAGAAAACAGTGCAAAAATACATGAATGTATGAATGTATGAATGCACAAAAATGGTAGATTATTGATAAACAAACCAGAGAATAAATGAATATAATGTAATCAATTAATTGATAGTAAGTAAATAAGTTGTATATAATTAGAAAGGTAATTCACCTCCAAAAAATCCAGTGACCCATCCTATATGTGTATGAATTTAATTTGCTTAGATATTGAAGATTAAATTAATGTGTGATCATTCTAATACTTATCAGTGAGGTAGGGTTTCGCTAGAATTAAAGTTGCTTTCCGACAATTTTAACAACTTGGTAATAAAAAAAAATATTATCAGTATAGGGTTCTGTAGGTTGTTGAGATCATGAATAGATCCATGTTAGACCATCACTAAAAACCTAGAGGCACTAAACGACCATTTTGTTCTAGTATGGGCACAAGCTGAATACACAGAAGTAAACAAGCAGGTGGAAAGGAGCATCAGAGCCGACAAACATAAGTATGTGGGAGATCTAGTAATGACGGCAGAAAAGGCTGAAAGATAAGGAAATATGAGACACTTGTGTGATACAACAAAGAAACTCTCCGGAAATTATCGTAAACCAGAACAACCAGTGAAAAGCATGGATGGCAAAGTAATCACCAACATCGAAGAGCAGCAAAACAGGTGGGTAGTACACTTCAAAGAACTCTTGAATCGACCAGCCCCACTGAACCCACCCAACATCGAAGAAGTACCCACGGACCTCCCAATCGATGTTGACCCACCAACAATTGAAGAGATCAGCATGGCCATCAGACAAATCAAGAGTGGCAGAGCAGCGGGACCAGACAACATTACAACAGAGGCACTGAAAGCAGATGTAGCAGTAACTGAAAGGATACTCCACATTCTCTTCAATAAGATCTGGGATGAGAAACAAGTGCCAACAGACTGGAAAGAAGGACACATAATCAAAATACCGAAGAAAGGCGATCTCAGCAACTGTGATAACTACACGGGCATCACTCTTCCTCCAATACCAGGAAAAGTCTTCAACAAGGTATTGTTAAACAGGATGAAGGACTTCGTAGACGCCCAACTTCGAGACCAACAGGCAGGATTTCTTAAGGATCGATCGTGTACAGAACAAATCGCAACACTACGGACCATTGTGGAACAATCAATTGAATGGAATTCATCACTCTACATCAACTTCATTGACTACGAGAAAGCATTTAATAGCGTGGACAGAACAACACTATGAAGGCTTCTTCGACACTACGGGGTGCCTCAGAAGATAATCAATATAATACAGAATTCCTATGATGGATTACACTGCAAAATCGTGCATGGAGGACAATTGACAGACTGGTTCGAGGTAAACACCGGTGTCAGGCAAGGTTGCTTACTACATCCTTTCTCTTTCTCCTGGTGATCGACTGGATCATGAAGACGTCAACATCTGAGGGAAGCATGAGATATAGTGGACAGCTAGGATGCAGCTTGATGATCTAGGCTTCGCAGATGATCTGGCTCTTCTATCTCATACGCAACAGCAAATGCAGGAGAAGACGGCCAGTGTAGCAGCGACCTCAGCAGCAGTATGTCTCAACATACATAAAGGGAAAAACAAGATTCTCCCATACAACACACCATTCCTCAATCGAATCACACTTAACGGAGGAGATTTGGAAGATGTAAACAAACCAGATTGTAGTGGGGGAAGAAATCAGGAAGCGGATAGGACACACATTGAAGAAAGCATCAAACTGTGTCACAAGGCAAGTCCTCACATGTAGTCCTCAAGGCCAAAAGAGAAGAGGAAGACCAAAGAACACATTAGGCGTAGAAATTGAGACAGATATGAGAAGAATGAACAAAAATTGGACAGATCTGGAAAGGAAGGCCTAGGATAGAGTGGATTGAAGAATTCATAATGATTTTCAGTAAAATGATATACTAATTCTTTGATTTTTTTCGAATAATATAGTCGTTTACTCAATATCAAATATTTACAATTAGTTAAAATCAGATATAGGGTATTATAGAGATTGTAGTAATTTAATAGTTGAATTCATGATCACCATGGAAAAACTGGAAGTATTCGATGATTTTCTATAGTGATCTAGTTTTAATTAACTCATGAATTCAACTATTAAATTAGTTAATCTATATAATTAAGTTCTATATTTTATTAAATATAAATCAATCAATAATTAATCCAACCTAGATCAATTGTCTATAAACTAAATCAGATGACCTTGTTTTAACCAACCATATTAATTTAAACTAGTAAATTATTAAATTTGAACAAAACAAACAAACAAACAAAATTAATCAATTAAAACATTCGATTTAAAATTATTAATTTAATTATATTTTAAATGTATATTTTATACATGATATGAACCTAATTAAAACAATTATGTATAATTCAATGATCGGTTTATATATCTTAATAATCAAATATCATTATAATAATAAGTGATGTCCAATTTTATTCAATATTTATTTTTTATATTTTATAATTTCATTTATATTTCAACTGTATTATCATATCAAAATATAGAAACAAAATGGATACCATTAATTGGGAATTGGATAATTTCTAATCAAACCATATCCAAACAAATTTATACAAAATTTGGTCTAGATAGTTATAGTACACAATGGATAATTGATAATAATAATAATAATCCTTTCATTGATGATAATGATGTAAAATTAAGATGGATAGCATATGATAATTGGACATTTACTAAGATTTTTATCATTGAACAATTCAATTTAAATAATACTATAGAATTATATATAGATGGTATAGATACATTTTGTGAGATCATTTTAAATAATCATTTATTAGGAGTTACAGAGAATAGTTTTTTATCATATACATGGAAAATTAATCACTTATTAAACTTAAAACGAATAAATATATTAGAAATAAAATGTATATCAACTGTATTGATGGCAAAGAAAAAAGCGGAACTAATGAAAGTTAGAAAAAAATCGATTCCACCACCATTTTGTTGGCCATCTAGATTTCATGGTGAATGTCATGTAAATCTTGTTAGGACAACACAATCAATATTTGGTTGGGATTGGGGATTAACTTTACCTATTCAAGGATTATGGACATTACCTCAGTTGGTGGTTTCACCTTCAGGTTTAAGATTCGGTGAAAGATTTAAATTCTATGCTTATTCACAACATGATCAGTTTAAATTATGGAGTGCTGAAATTGATGTAGAAATTGTAGTCAATATGCCGTCATACAATCGTCTGTCAAAAGCATGTATCTATTCATATATCGAAGAATTAAATGTATTTGGAAGAAAGTGTTTTGGAATGGAAAATGAAATGATCACTATGGATGTGTTACGTAACCAATCAAAAGTTAAATTATGGTGGCCTATTGGTACGGAGAGTGGACCATATCTTTATACATTAGTACTCTACTTAACAGTTGGTTTCAACAAGATTGTTGATAAAAAAGAATATTCAATAGGTTTTCGTGAAGTGGAGTTAATTGAGGTATGTTTTTATTTACGATTTGTGTATGATGACTGAATTATTCAAAGTTGATTTATCAGTATAAGGTTGTGGAAATTATCGAGTTTTAATTAAGACCATGAACCAATCCATGCTAAACCACTACTGGAAACCCAGAAGTACTTGATGGCCGCTTCATTCTAGTACGAGACTCCTCAACAGTGCGCATCTACGATCCCTCACACGGGACTCAAACTCAGTGCTTTGGGTCTTGGGTGACAATGTCCAACCTTTTGTTCTGCGAGTCGGTTTGAAGAAGCAAAGACAGCTATAGCAGTAGACGGCTTCAACTGATGGGATCCGAAAAGAACAAAATTAATTGATTGTTACGCATTATCAACCAGTCAAAAATCACTAATAATTAAACACTTTCTACAGTCTAGATAATGGTAAGCCAACAGTATAATAACTACTTTTAGTCTCTAGCCCTTTACTACTAAGCTATAGATATTTCTTTCATATCTACTGTGAAAGACCTGCCTTTTCATCATACTACTTTGTGGAATAATTTGTAAGCCAAATCGATTGAGTCAACAGAGAAAATCGATTCACAGATTAAGCTTGAGAGCCAGCTTTATGTGTACCGATAGCTTAGTAGATAAAGAAGTGAATAAAATGTGGCATATTATTATTATTATTATTATTATTATTATTATTATTATTATTATTATTCATAATGGTTACTTAACTAAGGTCAGTCTGAGATGTGATCTATAAGATCGAATTATCTCCACAAATTTTTCATACGCGAGAAAATAATCAGAAGGATATAGAAAATCAAACGAGTATAATAACGGAACCTTATGATATAAAATCATAATATTACTGTTTAAATTAAGGAAAGTAGTAAAACGAATTATACAGAGGTAATACTAATTCATGGAACTAAATGAGTGATTTATATACTGCGAATAATTCATCAGGGCAATGAGAATGTTTGTGAGTGAATACCTGCGAATTAAATGTATCTTTTGCTTTTAATTTCAATAACCGATTATTGGTTAGTAAGCAGTTACGTTTTGTATAAGCTTTGATATTAGTAGGACTCTACCAATGACGTTTACGATGTAGTGGATAAACTAATTGGCTTGAAGCGGTGTTGAACATTTTTCGATGTTTAATGGTTGAAGGGGATCAGCAAGAAATCTCAAGCGCAGTTTTCATGCTAGTTGATACTCATTACAAAAGTGTTTTTAAGATCTTGAAGAATTTGGTAGTCTTTCAGTAACCACAAAGAGAGTTGCAGCAGTTCCAATCCGTAGGTGTTACCGCAGCTCAATTTTTCAAGAAGCCGATTATTGATCGAATAGATTATTAGTACGGAACATATGTCTATGACATATTAATCTAAACGAAATCTCATAACTGTATTCTACTTCTTCAGGATACTATTCAGTGTGTTTACTTCTGAGGTACACATCACCTAACTTATATTTCAATGTTGTGATTATGTTGGGTATCTGTTGTAACGGGTGACTGCAGGTTTTGATAAGCAGCGTATTTATCGATCGACTCGGTGACACAGAAAACACGTAGTGGACGACCTAGTGCCCTGATTGGTCCCGCTTCCCTGTCTAGCCCAGCCACTTGAGTCTAGAACGCAAGTCACAGCCTCTGAGTTATGAATCGTTATATTTCAGACATACTCTATTTATATACCAAACAAACAAACCACATCGTACCATAAAATAGAAAACAACATTTACACAATATTTAACAAGTGAAACAAATATCGACCAATAGGGAGTGTACATTTAAGGTCCAAGGCCACCATAGACTTAACACGACAATTATTGGTATACTTTTCCGACTGTCCTAACAGTATCTTTCAGTTGTTTACAACTTTAAAGAAGAATTCAGCAAATGTAGAGTTGGTAAAGAAATTAGTGTTTTTATTATTCTCAATAAACATTACACTATGTATATGTATACCTTTATCGTAACAGGAGTTCGAAATAATAAAACCATACATTAATAAAACGAAAAATTATGGGTTTTGAAATCAGGAGTATAGTACATATGGAGTACAGCTTTTACAATTAAAAACAACTAGAATTGGAAAGGGTAAATTGTGAAGTGAATGAAGTAATCATCATTCACACGTGAATCGTCAGAAACAGTAGTACAACTATGCACTATAATTTAATCAGTGTTATTACCTACGGTCAGTATTTGATATCCTATTGTTCTATTAACTAACGTATAATTTCAGAATTCAGTTACTATCGTACGTCCCATTTATACTTTCGAATGACGTTCGACTACGTAAACTATGTGTTTAATCCGCGCAACTTTAATTATTTAAATACGTAAATATTGGTAGTGGGAAACTACCAGGCACTATTTCATAGATAAATGAAAACTAAAAAGCGATCATTACTAGACTTCGAATCGGAACTTGTTGATACTATAATAATTAAAAGTCATCAATTTGCACCAATCTGATCTTAGAAAAGTAATTTACGAATTCTTGTTGATACACATAGTTTTAGTTCATGTATCAGTGTTGATCTATCTATCATACATTGTAATCCTTATTATCAAATCCTGGATATAATAACTGAAGTGATTTTCTCATGCATTATTAAATAATTAAAAAATAACTAGCCATATTTTTCAAATAGATTAGTTTTAAAACTGTATGAAATAAAATTTAAGGTAATTAAAATCTGTTCTTAATTGACAGGGAGCATTTGGATTTGTATCCCTTGGCTACTTATGAGTAGTTAAAGACCAAATATAAATAAAAATGCGTGTAAAGGAATCACCAAAACAATGTTTAAATGGGTCGGTAGCAGTAGATTAGTAATTTTACGCAAACTTATCTCTGAAATAGAAAGAGTTTTCCCGGTGACCAACTGTGCTGACTGTATTCGATCGGTTCTGCGTATAAATGCGATCTTTATGAATGAAATTAGGGTTAAGAGAATATTTACATTGTTGGAGGTGTGACATTTACTTAACTCGTGTTAAATTACTAAATTACTATTCATACAGGGAATGATTACATAGTATAGAAATATTGACAGATTTTACTCTATCGATTAAGTAAACATTTATTTACTTAGTGTAATTGACAATCTGTGTACTACTCTGTAAGGTTGCATGAAAATGTATGAAAACAATTGGGTGTTAGCGCTCATGTAAAGTGAAGATTAGATTAAAAGGTTTTAGAATAACTATGAACTCCTGGTTAACATGCATTAAACAGCTAACCGAAGACATCGGTATGTCTAAAACGAAGCGGTGAACTCTAAACTTGTGCTATAACCTCACTACTTTGTGCCTTGAGATTAATGTGATCCATGGATTTCTACGAAATCAGTTGTAGAGTTTCTTTTTTGTTAAGTATGTTTATCTAATTTATCCACTTCTTATTTCCACAGTAACTACCTGACGTTTGTATTCACCTTCTACTTTCCTATGCTATTTTAATATAATAATTTAGCACTATGATTCGTGAATGTTACATATAGGCCAGTATAAAGTTTTTTTGCTTTTGATATTGCATAGAATGAGTTTATTTATAATTATAAAAAATAAAACAATATACTGAGTTTACATTTTATATTGTATAATTTTAGGATTATGTGGATTCATCATACATTGAATTAGGTCGGACATTTTATTTTAAGATTAATGGTTTGCCAATATTCATAACAGGTGCTAATTGGATACCTGCAAGATATATGCCAGGTAGACAGTATATTTTAATGCATAATGTAACGAATGATCGTATTTGGTTAGAAAAACGACTTCTTCGTTCAGCAAGTCTATCAGGAATTAATTTAATAAGAATATGGGGTGGTGGACGTTATGAAGATGATGAATTTTACAAAGAAGCAGATAGGCTTGGTTTGATGATATGGCATGATATGATGTTTGCAGTAGCTACTTATCCAGATAAAGAAAGGTGAATTTTTTTTCAGAAATCAATGAAAGATGCAGTTAACTATTAAACAATTAGTTTCTTGGTTTTCAATGGTTGTCCAATCATGATCCATATGTGATGTAATCTAAGAAATTCACAAATCTTCATAAAATTCTATCCTATTGATAATAATGTGGTCACGATTAACCAATTTAGAGAACTGATTCCCTAAGTTCTGATTAGAAACTATGATTAACAAAGTTCAACCACAGTGGGTGTGAGATAGTTATTCTATAAAGATAATGGATGATAGTTGTGTAATATTGCTAATTTATTGAAGTTAGATATATACACTGCTATATACCGGTTCAGTTGTCTAGAGGTTAAGCTCTCTTCACGAGATTAGAAAGTTCCAGGCTCGATGTAGTTGTTCACCGAGGACGGATCCCATACTAAGACAAAACAACTATCTAATGCCCCATGGTCTTCAGTAGTCATCTAACTAATACCAGTTCTATATCTAGTAAATTTTGAACAACATCAATTTAGCTGACATTACATTTTGGTTATTAATATTCATTTATTGTTCTGAAAAAAAGGCTTCTTTCTTTTAATTATTCTCATTATTAAAACTTTTGAACCTTTTGGAATTGTTTGAAATGACTAGCGGGAGTCAGAAAGTATTCAGGGGGATATTTTATATTGTTATTGATTCACTTCAAGGTAGATATAATTAAAAAAAGAACACCACTGAATAATGTTCTCTGTGTGAATAAAGTTTTTTTGATGGTTCCGTAAATTTTTACTCATCATCATTTGACTTTCCACTGTCTGATGAAAATTGGATCGGAAGTGATCGAGTAATGAATTATTGCTAAGTAATACTGATTGATAGCTTATTGGATATTAGTATCATTTAGTGAAATTGATAGATGAATATAGCTGAATTGGGTTGTTAATGAATATAAATCAATGTATACTGTAGATAATTTCCAAAAAAACTGATGAGATTAAATGATGCATAATGTCATTTCCCGCTAATAGAAGCCAATATTTTTGAAGATTAAATAATAGTTGAGATGAACAGGAAAGAATTTCTTAAGTTATAAGTTTTATAAATTTGTTTAAGTCCCTTAAGAAATGTTGTGGTGAATATGATGATAAAGTTTATTGAACTGGTACACATTGGTAAATTCAATGGTATAGAAGATATATGTATTTGATTATTATCAACGATTCAGGCTATAAAACTTTAATTCTAACAAATTTGAACAACATATATAAGCGAACAATTGTTTTCAATTAGATCGTCATCAGGCTTTACTCTAATCTACATGAATATTTAGAGGAAAATGTTATACAAATCAATTTTGTAAAAAATATCAATTTGAATTTAACCTACTCTTATAACTATCTAGTTGTAAACTGTTTATAGGTAGTAATTCATTTTTATATTGGTTGTATTGATTGAGTCTTCCCATTGATGTTTAGGACTGAAGTTGATTAGTTTTACATTGGTATCCTTTGCGGATTTCCTCAATATTGCCTGAAATCACAAGGATTCTAAGCAGAGTTGGGTGGAGTGAACAACAACTTTGGGATGCAAGCACATCCGGCTGATGAGTCCTAAATAAGACGAAACACGCCCTGGATTACACTGCTAGTCACCATCCATCTCTGTTTATAAGTAATTTTAAAAATGGTAATTATTTGGTTGAATAGAAATGTAAATTTCTTTTCTATGTGACTTTTTTTCTATTAGAAATGATACTGTTGAAAAAGAAATCAGAAGGCAAATATCACGATTACACTATCACCCATCTATTATAGTTTGGTCGACAGATAATGAAGTGAAACAAGCTATTGCAAATGGTTGGTATGGTCCACCAATGGATTTAACATTATTAAGTATATTTAAATCTAGATTTGTCGAGTCAATATTTAATGTGATCAATGACGAAGAGAATGGTCGAAGTTCGGCCAGACGTTGGGAAGCTTCAAAATATAAACCTAGAAGATGTCTTATCTCTTCACCTGGTAATGGATATCTAACAGAGAAATTCAGAGGATTGGATCCGGACCCAGATGTAGGTAGTACCATGAATTTAGTTAACAAATAGTATTTACAATTTACAATAAAGTTTACGATATTTGACTTGATATCAGGTTTATACACGTAACTGTTTATAATAAAACAGGCAAATGTACCAACAGTATAAATGGTATTTTAGCTTAATTCACTCTAGGCATCATAGCCGGCACAACTTTACGAAAAAAAGAGTTTGACACATTTTCAAAATTATTTAGAGGGGTAAGTATAACTAGATTTAACAAAAATGAACGATTTCAAGTTTTTCCGAAGGTTAGTTGACTGAAGTTGGAAAGCATTACTAGGTAAAAGTATTACCAGAATCACATACCCCAACCACTCATGATAAAGATTTATGAAATCTTTAATTCTAAATATTATATTATTAGTATTGACATTTAATGCAACACCAAACTCTTCATCTTTAACTGGGTCCGAAACAAATTTGTGAATTAGTTACAGTGCTAACTTACATTCACATACAATATACTAACTAAACCATTCTAGTTTTTTTATTTCATTGAAGTGTAAAGTACCTTTATAGTAATCAAGTTATTTAACGTTGACAGTCTGAATTGAATAAGGGTCGATTTAAAACCAAGTATATTATATCCTGGAACTATACAGATATTATAAAAGGAGGAAAGGATACTCTGTAGGTACTTTTCACAGAGATTTCACCAAAATTTTGTTTATTTTTGGTGTTTGTATATGATGAATAAAATCTTGATAATAGGTGTCCTAGTGAATTCATCGAGAAATAAGTCGCTTATCGTTCGGTATGGCGATGCTGTTAAAAAGATGTAAACTAATCAGATCGAACTATCAGAAAAAACTACTCTAACTTTTTATCTGCAACCAGGTATAAAGTATTTGATTGATGGATGTTGAGACTATAGAAGATAACGTCATTTTCATTCTTTCTCCAGTTTATATCAATAACGAATTAGATGTTCATACTAAATCAGTCTCCTCAAATCTGGTGCATTATAGTAAATTTTCCAAGATAGTTGTAATGACAAGTCGTAATCTGTGAGATCAATTAAATTGGGATTGAAAACAAATATATATTCCAACTACATCAGATGTTATTTAATCGAGTCTCTATGTTTATGGTGGAGTACTGACTTAAATTGAGTTGACAGTAGTATTATATCGATTTACGAGTCATAAATTCTTATTCTTAGTATTTTCCCAGACATAGATTACAAAGGTCAATTTAAGGTAGTTTGATTAGTTGCTGATCATTCACTTGTTGGATACTTCTTTGTACTCAAACTATGTTTCACGAATTGATTTCAACTGATAGATGACATAGCAGTGAATGAACACTCAGGCGGGGAAGACCAATATCTTCACAGAATATAAAAACCATACATTAAATACTTCATTTGCACATTTTCTATCAATTATCTCTTAAAAACTTCGTCGTTCTTTCATTCCTATTGTTATTACGATTACTCTCTGTTTACATTCCTTTTCTTTCCAACTTGATCTTCTTAACCTCCTGTTACCGGGCACTCCACTTCTGATTAATTTTACATACTACTTATTCCTGTCAATATATGTAGCATTCACCATAGTATGATCAAACTATAAGCTAGTGAAAACTTTTCAAACTATACCATAGCGTGTGAGATATTTGATTTTAACTTCAGATGTTCACTGTCTAGTCGGTTAACATAAACAGTTTGTTGTTTACTCGTTTGTATAGATTTACAATCAATACTTTTAGTAACCAATCAATTATTTGAAGTCAATAATAATAATAATTTTATTGATTAAAATTCAGTAAGAGAGAACAGTGAAGTTTCATTTGAAAGTTCATTAATTGACGATTCGTAAGAAAACCCAAGGTTATTTTATCATTGTTCATTGGTGAGATTTCTTAAGAAAAATAAGACAAGTATCACAACTTTTGGTACGTAATAATCACTGTTATATATATATATATATATATATATATATATATATATATATATATTCGGTCTGTACTGCTAAAACGGGATTATGCAGACTATTTACAATCTAGTGACTAATACAAGAGATTATGAAATCGATTTAGAACGACGAAAGTATGGCAATCATTGCTGTTCTATTTAGTATGAAAGATAGTCATTGTATGAATATCGATGTTTAATTCTACGCAATACAAAATGATTAGTTTAACACTTACGTAACTATAGTTTTGTAGAATTCAAATAATGTGGATTGATGACGGGATATACACAAACAATTTTGATAGTTAACTCTACTGACGACTCTTAAACTAGACTAAATAACACAGTACTAGAATTTCGTCAAACGTTGAAACAATCAATGTCTTTGGTTTCACCAACTGGAATATTTTGGCATTTGGAATTACGTTACTTGACTGACTTGTCAGTGTATTTCAAATTTTAAGTATAGACATGTGAAGATTATTGAGTTTCATTGAAATTGTGAACCGATCAGTATTGGACCACCGTTGAAAACCAGGAACTCATGTATGGCCGTTTCATCCTGGTGTAGGATTTACTAGTAGTGCGAAATCATGATTCCACACGCGGGAATCGAACCTAGAACCAGGAACTTCGGTCTCGCGCGTAAGCACTGAACCTCTAGATCACTGAGCCGGGACCTAGAGGTGTTCATGTTTAACTTCAATCAATCCACAATATTACGCGATGATCTCCCACTGTATTTGGTGGAAGATTTGTGAATACATATAGATAAATTTGGGTATTTTTATTATTCTGCAGAACCCACTATATGGTGATATACATTATTACACGTATTCTGGTGATTTATGGTCAGAATCTAATTATGTACTAGGACGTTTTATATCAGAATTCGGCATACAATCTATTCCGTCTCCATTAGCTTGGGCCAGATCAATTTCAAATATATCGAATCCAAAACAATGGGATGTATTCGGTTCACTGATGGACCATAGGCAACATCATCAATTAGGTCATCAAATGCTCAGATTAGCGCTTGAGTACATTACGGAACCAGCAAATAGACAAGATCCGATTCGTAATTACAGTCGGTAAGATGAATATTGAATTAATTTGTGTTTCACAGTTTGTTCAAAAGTGTATGTATAACTATATGAATCCTGTATAGTAAGGAATATCGAGTCAATTAGTATAAAGATTAACGAGCAATAAGCTCTAAAGAGAACAAGTTAACTTTAGTCAACTAAATATGTTATTTGCTGAGTTAATTCAATCTGTTGACCTAATTTATGCTAGAATGGGGTAATCTGTTATTTCTTTTATGTCCCTTCAAAATAGAACATATTATTACTGATTACAGTTACTTTTCCTATTTTGTAGTATCTCGCCGATATATATATATATATATATATATATATATATATATATATATATATATATATATATATATATATATATATATATATATATTGGTTAAAATGGCTAACTGAAAATATCTTCATTTATATCTTTGAATGAAAAAAGGCTATAGGTTGGTTAATTATTAGTATTAAATGAAGCTAAGTCAATACTAATTGATAATAATATGTAATTAAGAATTTATTATATTCTGTTTTTACAGTTCTACGTAGTACACATTTTTGATCATTTCTAAAGATCAAATCTACGATTCAGAAATCAATTTAAGTTGTTATGATTCAAGGTTATCATATTAGATTTTTCAGTGTGAAACAAGAGTTTTGTCAGATTAATACTAAAATGAACTATGTTGAGAATAAGTAATAATTAAATATTTTGATTATGGACGACCGTTTCGTCCTAGTAAGGGACTCCTCAGCAGTGCACGATCCCGCTTGCGGGAATCGAACCCAGGCCCTTCGGTCTCGCGCGCGAATGCTTAACCTACTGGACCACTGAGCCGGCAGCTAATGATGTTAATGTCTAACCTCAACCAATCCACGAAATTGCGCGACCATCTTCGATTGTACTGAGATGATTAATTGTCTCTACCCGACACGGATTAGCTCCACTGGTCACTAGAACTCCGAGAATGCCCTCACGAATCTAGTCACTAGTGATAATTATCAGTAAATGAGTTGTGGAGATTATTAAGTTTTTGATTATTTATTTATTTTAACACATAGATATTGGTACAAGGATGAACCAAATAGATATGCGCCACACAAATCTCATTTGATATGTGTGAGGGCTGTGATACTGCCAGGGTGCCCAAACCGAAGCGGATGGTTTTCTTAGGGGGCCACACTTGCAGTCTTCGACCCAAAGGTCTGATCTACAAAGCAGTGGAGCACCGTAAGGAGATGCAGTCCCATGGAAGCCGTTGACCAACAATTGGTTCATACTCCATTTGTTCCTTCAGGATACTGGGGCCTATGTGCACCATTGGTTTGGAATGAGGGTTTTACAACTCCCCTAGGTGGACTCACCGTGTCCACCGGCCTAGTTAAATCGCCGGACATTCGCTTTTCGTCCTCTCAATTTTGTAAACAACACCCCCGCCACGAGAAGGCAATGAGTAGGACTTCCCTGACAGAAGCTATATACGCGTGGTCATGTGAGAGCATTCCGAGAGGGAGAGTGGACTCTCTCCACTCTCAGCCATACCAAGGCATTTGTGGAAAAGTTTTTAATTGAGATCTCTTAAGTAAATATACCGTTAATAGTTAAAATTAGCATGTAATTAATAAGGAAATGATTATTATTATTATTTATTTTAGATGGGCATATGTAAGTCAATTAAATCAACTCATGTGTTTACGTACTCAAATCAATTTATACATGAGGCATAAATGTCGATTAAAATTAACAAATTTTACAATTATATCAACTAATAAATTTATCACAATGGGTACAATATATTGGCAATTAAATGATATTTGGTCAACACCTAGTTGGTCAACTATAGATTCAGTTGGTCAGTGGAAATTATCACATTATAATGCTATAAAAGAATATTATGATCTAACAAAATGGGGACGTATAGCTATACATCATAATAATGAAATAATTGAAGCTGATTGGATACCAAATACAAATCATAATAATTTATTTCCTATTGAATTTGAATTAATTTGTTATACAATTTGGTCATTTATACCAACATATCGTGAAATTTTAAATATTTCTATAAAACATTTCATTCAATGTCCAATAAATATATTAAATAAATCTTTAAATGATTTAAATAATTTATGTCATTTTAATTATAGAAATGGTAGAATAATTCAAATTATTATAAGAAATAATTTATATTCTATAATATCTGATAGAAATTTATTATTATTAGATAAACCAATACAAATTAAAATATGGCCTAAAAATGCTGGAAAAACTTTACAAATTAAATCAATCAAATTATTGAATATAATGAATAATTTATTAAAAATTCAAAAAATGGCACCATTTTTAACTAATTATATTTATGAAATTATAATTGAATCCAAATCACCAGAATTATTTATTAATTTGAATATAGATCCAAGACTTGATGTAGAATTTTGGTTTTCAATAAATGGTTTTCATTTAATAAATGAAAATGAAAAAATAATACATTTATGTATATCAGGAAATAAAACAATTTCAAAAGATGTATTAAAACAATATTTATGGATTGAATCACTTGCAACATTGAATATGAAAGAATTGTGACAAAAAATTTCTTTTGATAATTTACTTTTTATTATATTCTGGTTTAAAAATTATTTTTTCTTAAATGTTTTTAATTCAGCAATAGATTATATATGTCGTGTTTTTGTAGTGGCTACTTACAAGTAGTTTGTTGATTAAAAGTAAAATGTTTTACTAGCATAGGGGTTGTGGAGATTAATAAGTTTTTGATTGAGATCATGAACCGATTGATGTTAGACCATCGTTGGAAACCTGGAAGCACTGGACGACCATTTCGTCCTATTGTCGGGTAGAGACAGGTATCTACCTCAGTACAATGGAAGTTGGTCGCGCAATTTCGTGGATTAGTTGATGTTAGACACTATCACCATTGGATGCCGGCTCAGTGGTCCAGTAGGTTAAGCGTTCGCGCACGAGACCGAAGGCCCTGGGTTTGGGTCCCGCGAGCGGGATCGTGGATGCGCACCGCTGAGGAGTCCCACAATAGGAAGAAACGGTCGTCTAGTGCTTCCAAGTTTCCAACGGTGGTCTAACATCAATCGGTTCATGATCTTAGTCATAAAATGTTTTACTGAAAAATTGTTATAAAACGGAGTAGACATAATCAGACAAACAGTCATAATAGATTCTAAGAGACAATTGTCTTTTGGTATTTATAATAATCATCCTTAAGACAATGAAAGATCTGACAAGACAGATTTTTTAAAAGAGTAATTCACTTGAACAGTTAACTGATGAAAATTAGAGAACACCAAAATGGTTGTTTTGTACTAAATAAATAGGGTAGCCAAAATGAGAACCTGTTTAACATACGAAACACAAAGAAATCAAGTTTCACGAATAGTACAAAATTACTCAAAGTCTGAGTTGAGACCCAATAAATCACTTATTATATAATACAATAATCTTGTTAAGAGATTTGAAATATATGCGTGTTTTATTTATGGATGAAGAAACAATCGTAGTGATCTTTACGAAGCGATTCACCTTTCTAAACTGGTTAATATCTATGGAATGGCTTTTAATTGAAATACCAAGACATATACTACATTTTTTCCATAAAAATATGGAGATTTTAGGAACAATCGAGTTTTGATAAAGTTGGACTAAAATATCGAATGACTTTGTCGCTACCATATGAATTAAATTTATTGACTGAATTTCGGTTATGAAGTAAATAAAGATCGCCTAGAAAAGAATGAAATATATATTCCTACAAGTGGTTTTTTGCTTTAAATGTAATGTAAGAAACAAGTTTTTTTAGTTGAATAATCTACAACATTACGTTGTGGAGTGTATAATTGAAACATAGATGGAAGTAAATAAGTCTAATAAGCCCTAATGAAGATGAAACCCTAGTTTAACTTGTATGCAACAATTAGTGAATACGACATTCATGTACCCAAAAATAGTGTTGACAGATTTACACAAATCTCAATGACTCCACAATAAGAGGTGACGATGAGTTCCAGCAATTAAAGTTGTCAAACTAATAATTCATCAGTTCATATGACTATGATTTTCAATGATATATCGCAAAAAACCCAGTAAAACATATAAATATTATGAATCAAGAGGAGAGTTGACATAGACACATATTTAAAATGTAGTCAAACTAGTTATCAATCATTCTAGAATTTTCTTTGGATACGGTCATAATTTACTTATTATGGGACATCTATTATATATACTAGATTCACATTCAATATTTTATAATCATATAATAAGAGGAAGTAATATACAGTGTACTCATTGCCTGATAAAGTGTAATGGATAAAGAAAATAACTGATTATTTTGATTCGGGTGAGTAAGACGCTGTTTAAATTCATAGAAGTCCACATTAGTAAAATTGTTCCAATAAATTTAGTGAAATGTGTTACATGAACAGTATATTAAATGCATAACACTTAAAAAAGAGACAATGAAAAATGTTGTTGGATGATGTCTTACTATTTAACAACGTCCCTAAATTAAAATCTGATTATATTCCCCCTACCATAATGATACGTTTAGAGTTGGGTTGGATCTTTCAACTGGTTGGTATAGGTCATCAAATGATTGATAATTTAAAATTGAATTGGATATAAATGTTAGAATAGTTGTTTATTGCGAATTCAGTTTCCGATGTAATGATTAATACTATGTAGATAGTTGCATTACTAGTTAAGAGTAGGTGCTTATTTTACAAGATTATTTAAGCGTTCATGTTACTAATACTTTCAATTTACGTTGAAGATGTTGTGGTTGCATGGTACTCCCCCTTGTAAACATTCAGATAAGCGTATGGGCATAATGCGAGCATGTGACGCAAAGGCTTAAAGTACAACAGTTTAGATAACTGTGGTAGAAAGAATTTTTAGAAAATCCAAATGAAAACACGATACACCATTATTTAAACATTTTATGCAGAAAAATTAAGTACAACAGTAAGGAAATAATACGTACAATTGTAGTCATTACATCTGCTGAGAGATACTTGTTCATAATTAATATAAAATAAAATTGTGAGAAAATTGAAAACAATAATCTTAAGTTATTTTAGATGTCATTACCCCTAAAAAATATTGGATGATGTAACAGTATCAGTAATAATCCAGGAGAGGTAACAGAAATATTAATATACTGTCGATTGTACAATTAAAAGATATATTAATACAATGAGATGGAATAAAATACCACTATAAATTAGCAAAATGACCGTTGGAAATATACTGTTAAACTTTGAATCAGAAGAGAGATTTATGTAATAAAACAGAAAAGAAAAAAGAACCATAAACACCATAATGCTAGAGAATGCAAAATAACAGAATACTTTCTTCATAGATATGACAAAAACGAAAAAAAATAACAGACAAAACGAACTTTTCAATTGTAGTCTTATGATGTCCATCGTGAATACAGGAAAAAAAAGCAAGTTAAGGATAGAAAAAGAACAAGACGAACAAATTTGAATACATCCTATATTTTTTGATATCCATTACAACATTTATGAACAGAGGAAATGTTAGACAAATATTACGTTAAAGGTTGTGTATATGTATATGAATATGGATAGTTTGCTTATCATAACCAATCTAATACCTTTACAGAATATGCTTTCTATGCAAAACCTAGTTCACCTGAGAGTTGTAATAAAATACAGTTTACAAAAACGACCCATCATTATTGTCACATTAGATAAAAATAAAAAAAAGGAATTCAATAGAAAAAAAATATAAGAATTTCGGACCGAGATTGAATTATGAAGGCGCACAAATTAACAAAACAAATCATTTTAATTCAATGCATATTTCGGAAAGCATAATCCTAAACGTGATTCAATACCACAAAATGTGGTTGTTGCATATTGATAACCGCCAATATGATCAGGATTAGTTGGAAATACTGAAGTATGACAATTAATTGGTTTACCAGAGAGTTCTCTAAAAAAACAGATTAATTTTCGAATGATGAGTAAATTTTAGGTTTATGGTAAAATCATCAATAAGAAAAAATAATAATAGATTGAAGAACTAATTAAAAAATAATATATGGTTATCATATAAATCACATAAATCGTGCCAATCAAGATCTCAACCTTCTAACCTATTACCACATCTAACCAAATAACATTAAATTATTACGTAAGAGATGTCGAGTCACTTATACTAAAGATTACAATGTAACTTGACCAATAAAATTCTAGCAGCAAAATACGTATTGGTTACTACTAAGACTCATTGACATAAATACATCATAGAAATTATTAACAACACCGACTATTATAAATTTTTTTTGGGATATCAGTGACTCATGACCATAACCGTTATAGGGAGATCATAAAAAAATCTTCGATAATTCTCAGCTAGGTAAAAGTTCCTTAAACCATTATTTATTGATGTAACTTAATCAAAGAAGTATATTACACTACGTTACATGTGGGTTAAGTTATTAATTCTGAAATATAATACAAATGTACAGAAAAGTTTACGATTTAGCGAAATCAAAGACGAGAGAAAAAATGGACAAGAAGTATATACAGAAAGAGAAAAAGCCGATGAAATATGAAAAGTACCTTCCACCAAAATCAAAGTTGAGATATCTTTGAAGTGTTTCATATGATAAAAGTGTCACTCCAAACTGTGGACTAGATCGAAATACGCGAGCACCAGATCCCTTCCAGAATGCCCGACCACCTTCTTCACGCCAAATTTTTCTAGCCGCATCAATTACTCCTGTATATGTTGTTTGACCTGTACGCGCTACAACCTAATAAAATATAGTGAATTATAATGATAGAATTTAATCGTATATTACAACTCAAAAACATGATGATTTGTTAGTTTTTCTAAGATCTTCCTACCAGAATTTTATTTCAAACTTTTTTTCTGTACAACTGACATTTCATATTTAAACGGTGCCGAAATTAGACTAGATTGACAGACATCCATTTAAACAGTACCAATAGTGGTATTGTTTATTATACTAATGTAAGAGCAACCGTTTAAATATAGGGTCTTTTTGGTGACTAATCCAAAAGATTGATTACTAAGAGTGAAAGAAGGCATATAGACCTGCTAACCACCTAAAAATATTTCACACTTCGACCATGTAAAACATATGCTACACTTATGGGTGCTAATCACCAAGTGATTACACGGGGTTTTGACAATATTTAAGTGATTGGATGGAAACGCAATACAATTTAACCTGGCCACAGTCGAACATTATCGCTTCACGTTAACAGATCTATACTATCCATGTGTACTCACTCCGAAGCTGTTTTCAAAAAGCAACTGATGATCACGCTCCTTTACATTTGTGCAGATCTTTCCTATGAATAGTTTCCCCGAAAGGACAAGAAACATATTTCTGAATAACGATTCGAAGGTAGATCTAATGTCTAATAATGCAGTAGTTATGTATTGAGGATCTGAACAACACTGACCATGCTCCACTTGGGTTTGATTCTGTACGTGTTTCCCAAAATCTGGTATAATAAGACGGTGCTGGTTTTTAATTTATCTTACGAGTGCTATTTTTAAGTTAAATAAAAGCAAATTCAGTTCAATTTACTTTTTAAAACAATTTAGCCAGTTTATTGATAAGAATGAGATCCCAGTTCTTGAAAAGAACTAAGAGTATAACGTTTTAGAGATTAAAAACTTTCACTTCATTAAGTTAAGTAATAAACATAGGTTCGGTTTATACCTTTTGATTTAATTTGTTGCTTGTTCGTTCCTTTTTTGTATGTTAAATTATACTTCTCATTAATATCATTAGAAGCAATAGGGACGAGGCTGTTAGTGCTTGAAATCAACTTGTTTTCTTTTATAGATAGTTTGTTAACTTTAATTTTGATGTACACTAACATGAAAATTGTCAGAGAAATCAAATGGTTACACGTGATTAGGTCAGAATGTCAATTTAACAATATCTCATTCAAATCAATACAGTGGATATGAATTGAATACATTTCACAATATAATTCATAATAACTGAATAATCAATGATTACATATAATAAGCAACTCAGTAGGTAACAAATGTGATCAAAAGGTAGGTGAAGTACATAATTAGTACCTGTAATCTTGTCTTGATTACATCTGCTGGTGTGGCTAAAAATGCTGCAGGAACTCCAGAAATTGTTGCAGCCAGTAATAAGCTTGTTGATGAATTACAACCATTTTCATTTGCAAAATACTTTTTCAAATGGCTATATGAAGTAAAATATATAGCTGAAAATGGGATATCACGTAAAAAACAAGCTCGTGATCCTTTGTAAAGCCCGAAAAGTCCTAAATCTTTGACAACCTGTTACAGTACAAAAAGAAAAAAAACCCAGATAAGTTGAGAGTGGTCATCAAACTGTTTCTGGTAGTTTTTAAAATCTATAATTGTTCATAGTAATTATACAGATTCTGTATATACGTACTTCAACATTTTTAAAATCAGTCACTGTGTAAACTTCAATTAATAGTAATCGAAACATTTTTGCTCAATTTTGAAAGGAAACAAATGTATTTTCAATAACAACTTTAAAACAATTAGTCCCTTTGATAATCCAATGAGAAGACGAAGTTTATCAGAACTATGTGATATATTTGCACAATACATTTCGAACAATCTGATCACGCATATACTTGTTAAGAGATTTTTATATGTGATCAAATTGTCCGAAATGTATTGCGCAAATATATCACATAATTCTGATAAACTTCGTCTTCTCATTGCATTATCGAAATAACAACTTTGTTTAAATATTAATAAATGATTGAAAATAAACATCCAATTAAACAACCTCACTGGGAACTACTTTTAAAAACCAGATGGTAGAAGTCAATGAACATCTATTATACAAAACATAGGAATGTTAATCAGAAAAGATTAATCTAGTCTTTAAATGCATACAAGTACATGTGATCCAGATACCCAACACGTTTATTATTAATGTTGGAAACAATCGGAAAATCAAGTCATGCTTGTGCGCAGTTTATAGACATTAAAATGAATGAATTCATGTGTCTAGACTCTACAATTAATTTTATTCTGTTCTTTGAGTTTTCATTTTTTAACTTTAAAATAAGAAAAAGACTAATGTGAGTCATCACATAGTGTCAATTAGTTGGTCGCAGACAATTTAGGGTTTATAGGTTCGAGTACCTGTATAAATATTGTACCAGACAATTTATAAAGGTTAACTGAAATACATATCTTACTGAGAAGGATGATAGACGCCTTGTATCAGCGATTTCTCCAGCAACTTGAAGTCGTATTTTTACAATTTCCAAAGGATTAGTAAAAATTACTTGACTTGCTCCTGCACAACTTCCAGATAATATTTCAGCATATATTGAGATATCACCATTCGGTTTTGTAAATTGATCACGAACTAAATCATTGACGGTAAGTTTAATCGCTTTTTCTGGTGCAACACCTAATATCTGTGGTCCTAAACCTCGGTACAAACCGAAAAATCCTTCAAATCTAAAAAATTACAGGGTGAAAAAAAGATATACAGGATATTGAGGGAATAGTATCGATAAAAATAGTGAAGGTTATACTTTTCCAAGAACAAACTGAACTGTCTAGGGGACGGAAATCAAGCAAATAATTAGACATCTAGTGATTTGATCAACAAAACATAATATCATCAAAATTCTCATCTTGAGCTACAACTATTCTCCACTGTTAGTTGTTATAATCACGAGGCTAAAAGTTTCTATGAAGTTAAACCATGATTTGCATTTTTTAACAGTAAAATTATGCAACTAATCGATCAGTGATCGCTACATTTGACGACATTAATTAGTTAATAAATAAGCATATGAACTTGTGTCATTTATACATCACATTACTCAAATAAAATAACCGATTACTAGGCAAAAATTTACGACTGATAATCAACCAGATAGATCGCCAAGCGAAGCTATCAGAAGAACAATGATCAATAATTTTGAAAGATTAATACGAATGAACTAAATTAGTGAAATAATTCATAATTACAAAACAAACTAACTATTTACACATTAAAATGATAATCCCAATTTACTATAAGCTAAAGAATACTTGAAATTTTATTCTTTTTATTAAAAATGAGTCGTGAAACTAACAAATTTATTGGACACATAAAGAATGAGAGAAATGTAATCAAATTCAAGAAATTATTGACAGTTTTAAAAGTAAAAAAATATGTACATGCGACATTTAATTTTACGACTGATATCTTATAAACTGAACAATGAAAAAGTAAGAGTAAGAGAAAAACAATAACATTAAATCAAAATGTATTGAAAAAGAGATTAAAGAGCAGTCTACAGAAACAAACGAATTCCAATGGTCACAGGATAGACAGATATCTTCCTCCATTGCGAAACATTTGGTTGAGACTGGTCGTAAGGTTGATATCAAGTCAGCCTTTGCAGTGTTGTACAAAACCTTTCAAGGGCGTATACTAAGGTTTATTGACGCATTGGCTATACAGAAACTGAAACTATCTTTATGTGAAGGGGTTTTGTGGAGATTTTAGTAATTTCAATATTTGAAGTCATGAGTCAACTGAAGCTAGACCACCATGGAAAACCTGGAAGCACTTGACGGCCGTTTCGTCTTAGTATGAGACTCCTTAGCATTGCGCATTCACGATCCCGCGAGATGGGTTCGAAAACAATTTGTCCTTACCCTTAACCTACCCTGGTAATACTGATTTATTATCCAGAGTGGTAATCACACTGTTTTTATGTACTTTATAATAATAATAATAATAATAATAATAATAATAATTTTTTCTTTGTTATGGCTAACATTTAATATGTCTAGTTGACCTTTTAATTTTCATATAAAAATGTCTTAACAAGTATATATGTGATCGGATTGTGCAAATATATCACATAATTCTGATAATCGTCGTCTTTTCGTTGCGTTATCAAAATTTATCAAAAGGACAAATTGTTTTACATTTAAGAGTGGTTTAATATTTTTTTTAATCTATAGATGTTTGCCAGCTTGTAAAACTTACATTTACACCAGAATAATACTTTATTTACAAACATATGTACATCCTGTAAGAACAAGTGTAGTTACAAAAAATTTTTTCTATGAACAAAATGTATATCTTTCAGTAAATTTTAGTGTAATGGTTGCGTACTGCTGAGGAGTCCCATACTCGGACGAAACGGACATCCAGTGCTTCCAGGTTTTTCATAGTGGTCTAACTTCAATTTACTCATGAATACTATTATTAAATCAATTTAAAAAAGTCACAGCAGATTAACGGGAAATGGAAAGTATTAATGTAGACATTTACACACTTTGAATTACTTTTGAAAAGGTTAAGAAATTATATACACTAGTTACCTTGAAGTGAATATGTTTAGTGAGTTTTGATGTCAGTTAGTCAGCTACAACATAGGACCAGGCACATATAGGCATCGGCCTAGGTTGCCACACCTTATTAGCACAACAAGCTGAATACCGAATTCATCGAAGTAGTTACTTCAATGGTAGTAATATATAACAGAAAGATTTCATATAAGGATATAATACATGAAGAAAGAATTAATCTCACGGTTTAAGGGAAGACAAAGAGTGTATAGACTTACGCTATTGTGATCGATGGTTATTCGAATATTAAGTCCTGTTGAATACGATTTGAGAAATCAATTTAGAATATAAAACTATCTAGAACTTGATTAGAGTTCCGAAGTTATAGTAATGTAGAAAGTGCAGCGTCATAAAAAGTGACCTACGAACGTTTCAGTCAGTCAGTCAGTCAGTAACAACGTAGAACTTCGTACGTACGTACATCAGTTCGAGTTGCCACACCACATTAGCACACAGATGCAGTAGTCGATTCAAATCCCGTAGTGGTAGAGGTAATAAGAGTATAAGCAGTAATCAGGAAAATTAGTGTTTGGAGATGTTATTTAAAGAGTATAATACAGTGAAATAAATTTGGGAAGAGAAAAAAAAGACAAGGAGGAATAAGGAGATCAAAATTTGGGAGAACACAAAGAGTGTATGCACCTGCGTTATTGCCAACGATTTTGAGCCATGTCATTCAGGGTCTCTAACCATCGGTTGCTATCATCTCGCGGTCCCCAACCAGGTAGTCTACACCTACCAACATGGCTCAGTCCACTTGCCAGTGACTTCGAATGTTTCAACATACCGGTTGTGGATGTCTAACTTTGATCGATCCACCATATTGCGTGACTAATTTACATTGTCTACAGTGGATAACTGTCTCAGACACAACATGGCCGAACTCCATTACTTGTCACGAAGAACTAAAGGATGTGGACTACTGAGAAGTCTCATACTAGGACGAGTCAGCTGTCTGGTGGCTCTTAGTTTTCACTGATGGTTTAAGCTAAGATCAGTCTGTAATCTAAACAATAAAAATATTCTAGAATTGGAATATTGTGATATTGTTGTATAAACCTCAGAAGATAAAATGCACGAATTAATTACAAAGGTGTAAGTGCTCAATGACAGGAATTCAGTTAACGAAAAGTATGTGACCAAAGCAATTAAAAAATAGTACGCCCGGAAACAACTCAAACTGGTAAAACTTTCAAAATGGAATCATTGGTTAGTAGGATTTAACTTAAAGAGGTGATCATTTCAATGAAAATTATAAAAAAAGATACACTTTAAAAGCTTACCGAATAACTTTACGAAAACAATCCCAGCTATTTTTATACATAAGTTCACCCGTAGTTGATCCAGTAGCACGTTGATTTTGCATTCTTGTCTTAACAAGATCGATTGGATAGACGGCAGTAGCTCCGAATGCACCAGCAATTGAGCCTAAAGTGAACCGATAACATTGTTCAAGTATGGACATTAAAACACTTCTTCCACGAGGTACATTTACATTATTTCCAGAATTTCCCTAGTTATGTATAGAAGGTAATAAGACATATTTTATTCGGTGACTAGAAATATGGTAATATATTTCTACAACACGACTTTATTGTTAAATATACGATGTTATTTAGGCATAAACTCATCTATGTAAAACACTAGGCATAAGAAAGTTGGAGTACAAAATATTTTATTTAGAATAAAATGACAAATAAATCAACTAAAGTGTTAAAATCCATAAATAACCAAATCATTAGAATTAGGTTACAATCACTAGTGATGAGTTGAATTATTATAACTACTAACTTGAGTAACAATTTAGGAAAGGATAATAATTAACGTTCATAAGATAATTTCGTCATTCATTCATTTATCAGGTACAATTTGTGCACTTGGTTTCGAGAAATACCTTAAGCATGAAGGTTAGTGATACTATCCGGTTACCCAAATTGAAGTGGACAGAGCTCGAGGTTCAAACTTGAGACATAGCGGTTGAAGGCTGAACACCTTAGGAATTGAGTCACCATTATCATAAAATATAACATTAAAAGAAGTTGGTTACCTATTGAATGTTTAAAATCATAAACCACTATTTACTGTCGTGAAGCGGCGTGAAAAGGTCAAATAAATCGGGAGAGGGGGGAATGTAGTGTTGTGAAACAACCAAAAGTTCTATTGCCGATGGTTTTACTAGTCAGTTTGTATTCACACATTCTTTTAGAGATTGATGATATCTAGCCTTTTGTTAATTTAAGTAATGTAAATGAACTCAAATTGTCGACATAAAACGAAACTGACACTCTCAGGTTTGGTTTATTTAAATAGACAGAGTCCATTCAAGAGGAAACGAAATAAAGCAGTATAAGGAAGGAAGTTTTTGAATGAAGTTCTAGCTTATGTTGGCAATATCACAGATTATAATTGGGACGGGATTCTATACAAAAAAACTCGGAGCTATTGTAGTTTAGAAAGAGGAACTAACCTACTGATCTTAAAAGACATCCTCCTTCAGCAATCGGTTTACTGACAGCTATAAATGACACATCACCACAAGAAACGAGGTGCAATGCAGGGAAAGACTTACCAAGCCTAATAACTGATGGATTTCTACCTATAACTTAGGGAGAAATAATAATACGATGGATACATGGATAAGGTAGAAAAAAAGCTTCGGCAAACATAGTAGTAATGTACAGAAAATAAAGAAGCATTTTGAAAAAATTATAATAAAAGGAAACCCATCTATACCGTCATTCTACATATTTGAAAGAATTTTGGAGCAAAGGTTAAATAGTGTACCGTTAGAACAAAAAAATATATACTGATTAGGTTACTCGAGGATCAAAATAAAACAACTAACAATGAACATACCTGAAGTCGAGCCTGCATATGGTGTGACATAGAATTTTCTTCCACGGGGGTAAAAGCACATAAATCTTGATAAGTAACGCGTCTGAGAATTAGAAAAAAACGACAACGGAAGATACAGCTATTCATCGATACTAGCTAGTCATAGAGCATGTCTATTGTATTTTTATTAGGCTGTGCTTTTGACCTTTTAAGGTTGCAAAGTGAAAAATTTCTGCTATGCAGTGAATGTGGTAAAAAGTTTTGGAAAATAGATTTTATTCAATAGACTTTGTTTGAGTGCTTGATGCATTTATTTACAGAATTCGATGAACACTGAATAATGGAGTGAAGACGATAAAAATTAGATTGTAGTATACTAATTACAGATAGTTTATGCCCCGTTTTTTAAAGCAATCAACAGGAGGAATAAATAAGCACATATGGACATTCCATCTAAAGTTTTATCACGTTGATTCCGGTATTGGCTATAGGTAGTCAAGAATCGATTTGAACTAAAAAGCAATGTTATGCATGTTACATTTATAACAGAGGACATATTTATTTTTCAACATATCACTGGTCAAGTAGTTTAATAATTGCCAAATAATTCTTATTTTAATGGTTTATTAACTTAATACAGATCAGTGTGATAGATATTTTCAGTGACAGCGATCTAACAATGCTGAATGACAATCGTAAAATGTTTTTATATGTAAACAAAAATTTCTTGGTAAACCCGCATAAGATAAACAAGTGAACAATCTTGTTTTTAATTTATATATGTGAAATATATTGGGTCAACTGAAATTTTTTTGTAAATGATAAGCAAACAAGTTAATTACATGGCAGTGTTGCGTAACTGTCTATTGATTATTATATCTTGTAATATATATATATATATATATATATATACTGTGATGCCAGTGTGTAAGTGGTGAGGTTTTCATCTATGTGACTGACTAGATGTTAAAATGTAATGTCGCTGGTAGCAAATTTTCGGAACGAACACAGGGACTAATCTGGCACTGAGAAGAAATGACATTTTAGATTACCGTTAGGATCAGACTTTCTTCGTGCTGCACCCCCAAGAGTAAGTAAACACCTATCTATTGTTTGTAAATCACCTACTACGTAGGATCGTCATTATCAATAATAATAAAATAATAATTATTATTATGTAATACCTTGTGAATAATCACTATAAATATGCGAGTAGTGAAAATAAACGGAAAAAATGAGGGGAAACAAGTAAATAGTGGGAAGAATTATAAAGATCGTTCATAAAGTTCCCTGTAGTCAAAAAAGAAAAAGATTATAAATTTTAACAAGCACTAGGGTTGTTGGTTCGAATTCCACAGTCTATGCTTTGTGTAAAAGACAAGACTGAACCCTATAAAGTTGAAAGCCATGTAACAAATCACTTTGAATTCTTTTGTCTTATCTATTATACGATCACTATCACCCGAGTGCGACAGAGGCATGCACTGATTTTGTTTGAATCTTGGTAAACCCACAAAGGGAGATACTTGCTGACCAATTTCACGAATCGCCTTGACCGATTTAACATTTTTCATACACGTAATTATTAATGTCTTATAGAGAGTAAATTGAAGAAAAATATTGCTTGCCATTATGTCTTCTAATTTACAGGATGGGAATGTTCCATAATATACAAACTAGAATAATTCTGAATTTGTATGATGAAGATTTTATTTATTTATATTGACTAATTTCACAGGATATAAGCCACACTAAGCTTAAAGGCTAATGATACTACCCGGTTGCCCAAACCGAGGTAAACAGGAAGGGGCTCGAACCTAGGGCTTAGTGGCTGAAATTCGAATGTCTTAACCATTAATGTGAATTATACTTCCCTCCGAATATGATGTTACGCCGTAAAACCCACATATTTGAATGAGGATTAGGGTGAGTATTGAGATCTACTTATATTTATCTATTTATTTAACAATAACATATCAAGACAGGATTTATAATGATTCGAATTCGGATATTTCCAATGAGAAAATGATTATAGAGATGACAAAATAAGTATTTTCACTTACCCATCTTTTCGAAGAAGTGAAATGAGCTGAAATAGAATACTCATTTCCATTGGCGTGATTTGAGAGAAATTTTGTGCTGCATTCAACATTTCCTCTAGAATTGACAAATTAATGAAGATCAAGAATAAAATGGAAAACAAGAGAATTTACTGTTATTTATTAAGTGAAATTACTTGAAAATTAGCTGTAACAGAACAAATAAACAGGCTATTTCAATAAAACATTTTGGAGAAAAATGTTTTAAGCGGTCTTGTTGTTAGAAAACTTTGTTGAAGGTCGTTTATCAACATTCGTAAATTTGAATGAAAGCTAATGAAAAACTATTGTTTAGAATCGATGACTACTAATAATATTTGTCATGAACATTGAAAATCACTAATTTAATTCTATTTCACCCTAATTTATCAAGAAGTGATTTACATCTTGATGACTCTATGATCAACTTTCATCAGTCCTGTTAAACACTCGCGGACAAATAACAGGAATTTTCAAAAGATATCAGTTAATTATCTTATGTAAATGAATAATAGGGAATTATACTGTATGACTGCGACGCATTTCGACTGAATGACTCAATCAACAGTATGGTCAACAACCTTGATTTGTAGTGGACCCCAAGAATCGAACAACTGAGATGAGAACAAAAACACCACTGATAACGATAGAGTGGGAAAATATCAATAATAAATGTATTTTTATTAATTAGATATTAAGGAAAGTTTTTAAAGAATTAAATTAGAGTTTTTGATTCGTGTAATTCGAAAAGCTGAAAATGGTAAGTTGCATAAAAAATTTTCTCTATCGAATGTTTGACATTATGGCATCCCTGGAAATAAACTGCTTCCAACAGATGTGAAGTGAAGTAGTGACCCTACTGACCAAGAAAATTAGTTTAGTAACCAGTTGGATTGGTGAGTATAACACTATGCAAGATTATTTTATATAACGATGAAAACAGATTAAGAACACGGTGGTACTAATAAGTGGTAAAATTGCAGGTTAGGAGATAATTAGCTTTAGATAAGATAATTCACTTGAAATATTTGTGAAATCATATCGATAGCATTTGTCTGGACATGATACATTGTTGAAGAAATAAAAAACATTAACCAAAACGAGGAATATCAGCTGATTTTTGTAACATGAAATTTGCAATCAAACTGATGTACATAATTTTTAATTCAAAGAAGTATTATTCAATTTTTTTTTCAATAATGAAACAGTGAGTCTTTATAAATCATGAGATATTTTTGATTGAGCGTCTGTCCAATGTAAAAGGCGTTTTCACAAGGTGAATTACAAATATTCATTAACCTAGTAGTAAACTTATTCTATGAGACTGTTCAAGTTTAATTTTTGTGTACATCACTTTGAAGAGATAGAGTCATAAAGTTTACTTGTGTAACTCGTTTCATTAAGCCTTATGACCTGTACACCTGTCCAAACAACAAATCAAAAACGTAGTTTCAGCAACCCAATGAAGTATCTACATAAGTAGAAAGATAAAAGTAGCGTTTCTTAGATGGTAACATGGACATACTATTCTTGTTAATTCAGTCATGCAATCTCATATACCTATTTTGAACAATGAAGCCGAATGTATTTTTATATTTGTCATATTTCTAATGAAAGTATAATTCGTTAGGCATTTAAAACTTACAGAAACTAAACTTGTAGTTTCATAATCTGAGATAGGAAATGGATTATTAGTGATTTTTATGTTAAGTATGTATGCAGAATGAAAAACCGTTTACAGAATTTGAAAACGCTGTAAAATGAAGATTAGATTCCCAAGGTATTCTGAATATAATATTATGGCTAATATGCTGTGGATCTGAGTCTTTAAATTTTAGTTTACTCAATACCTTGACGGTTATATGAATCAAAATTACTAACTGTCGAATAGTAGATCAAATAAAAACGAACCTCCTTTTATTTTGGAGGTTGGAACACTTGTAAACTTTGGAGATGGAAGATATAACGTAAACAAGTGATTACTTAGGATATCTATAAGATGTTAATGAAAATTAGATTTTCAAAGTTTACTTGACTTGTTGAGGGTGTGCTTTATCTAAATACAACTTATGGAAAAAGAAATCTATTGAGATGAATTTCCCTTATACTAAGTTATTGATTGTGAACATTGTTCGTCACCTTTCAATATGTTTTTTACTAGAATTTCTATTTAGTGACAAATACTTAGTTCATGAATTCTAATTATTGTAACTGATCTACAACTGATAGGCATTTTTGATTGATATACTGACCGTTCCATTACTAAGTCGATTTTTTCACTGTAGTCAGCAGATCAGGGAAGAGGATTAAAGTGATCTCATTGACTGTATTGAAGTTGAAGTTTTGAAATCTATGTGTATGATGACTTCCGAAGGTGCAGCACAAAGCCAGTGTTCTTAATAGGAATACAGAATGGCATTTCTTGACGTCGTAATGATAGTCAAATCATTAGGAATCTCATTGAAATCATGAACAGATCAATGTTAGACCAGCATTGAAAACATGTAAACACTAGACGGCCGTTTCGTCCTAGTATTGGACCCGTCCGCAGTGCTTATATTAGGGCGAAACGAACGTCTAGTGCTTCCAGGTTTTCGATGGTGGCCTAACATTGATCGGTTCCTGATTTCAATGAAATTCAGCAGTCTCCACAACCTCAAACTGAAAACATCAGGAATGTATGTTCATGAGCTATGTTCTAGTTCAGCTACTATTACAATGGAATAGTTTTGTAAGATAGTGAATCTTATAAGACGAATACTCACACCCATAAAGAATGTTTACAGAGAGTGTAGGAATAATTAACTGAGTTATTTATACGACCTTCACTTTGAGTTTTTAGTTACTCAACTGGACAAACGTGATTCGGGTCACGTGCGAATATCAATCCTGAAAACTCAACAGTATATGTAAGTGGTGTAATACCATGCTCTTGAGGACAGTCATAAGTTATATTATTCCTGTTTGATCATGGTAAACTTTTGAGCAAATGACTATCCAAGTAAGAGGAATATGGTTAAGTATTTGAGAAATCCACAGAGAATGTAAGTTGGCTTACTAATACTTCGTTTTTTTATATAAAAAGATATGAATCGATCAGTATTGAGTTTGACTTTTTGAGAGTAACTTTAAATTAATGATAAAATGTCTACTTGATTCATCGGACGTGGATTGGGATATTTCGAAGTATAATGCATATTTATAATTGATATTTCTATTTGGGTACACTCAATTAGTCTTAAACATTTAGACATGTAGAGCTCCTAGAATATTTTTTAACTGTATACACAACAAAACAGTAATGAGAGATTTTGGAAGTCCATTAATTTTCTTTAATAGTAGAATTACTATTTTAAACAAACAATATTGTCAGTTACATCATGATTCATGACAAAAAAATACGCTGTCAATTTCTTCATGAAAACGATTAAAAATTACTGATGATATTTATTATTTATACAACCAGTGATTAATTATACAATGTACATAAAAATACAAGTTATGAATAGCAACATACTTAATATCTAGGAAACGACTACCTACTGGTAACTAACCTTTAGTCAATTCTACTTTGGCGTTCCCATTAGTTCGACTTAGATACACTTTTTTAACTAATTCCATATTAGTTAAGAGTGCAATGAAAGCCATATAATAAGCAAAGGTAATACGACCACCATTCATTTCGCCTTGTAAGGCAACCTAGTAAGCACAGAGAGAATGTTATACTGAGAAACATTTTATAAATAAGGGATGATTAGTAAATAATTTGGATTGTTAACCAGTATTATGATAAAAACAAACAGTAACTTAAGACTTCTAGATGAAGTTGATGGTAGGCATGATGTAGAATCAAGGGGATTTGCCAGAAGGTAAGTTGGACGTGTTAAGTTCCTAATTTGATATACAATTTGCAAATGTAGTTAAATAATAAGAAAAATGAAAAGTTTATTGTCTTAGAGTTTTAAGTCACTCTTTATCCAATTTCAATATGAGTGAAATAATTAAAAATGGAGAAAAAGTTAATCAGCTGTACAGGAAACACCATCCGATAGGGTATTTATGCTGATAACAATTAGCTCACTCGAGTCAATTTAAAAGAACTAATATTAATTTAACATTAAATGCCCGGTTACGGCTGAGTGAGGAGAGTCAGCTCTCTCTCTCTCTCGGAATGCTCTCACATGGCCACGTGTACATTGCTTTTGTCAAGGAAGTCCTACTCACTGCCTTCTCGCAGCATTACTGTTGTTTACGAAATTGAGAGGACGAAAAGCGAATGTTCGGCGATTTAACTAGGCCAGTGGAAACGGTGAGTCCACCTAAAGGAGTCGGAAAACCCTCATTCCAAACCAATGATGCACATGGGCTCCAGTATCCTGAAGGAACAAATGGCGTATGAACCAATTGTTGGTCACCGGCTACCATGGGACTGCATCTCCTTACGTTGCTTCATTGCTTTGTGGATCAAACCTTTGGGTCGAAGACTGCAAGTGTGGCCCCCTAAGAAAACCATCCGCTTCGGTTTGGGCACCCGGGAACTATCCTAGCCCTCACACAAATCGAATGACTTATGTCACGCATATCTATTTGGTGCCTCCTTGTACCGATGTTTATGTGTTTAAATAAATAAAACCATACGGTAACTTTTTATATAAGCTTAGTTGCTTGACTACTAAATATGGTAAAAGATGTTAAATGCACAGAAAACCATTAGCTTTCCGTTTATTTTGATAACTTTATTTTGAAAATTTGAACTTTTATCCTTTTTTGCCATCTCCCCGTCCATGGAGAATATATTTTATCTGCACTGTCCTTAAAGTAATTGTAATTGCTTGGTTTATATCGAATAAATCTTCGGAAGTGGCTGGGGTTAGATGTTATATCCGAAAGAAGAATAAATGAATGGTAACTGCTAGGATATATTTATGAACTATCATTACATATATTTTTATTAGATAGTATATATATATATATATATATATATATATATATATATATAATGTTGGTATTCCTCTTATTATAAGTTTTCATTTGAACTATCGGTTACTGTTATACAACTTACCATCCTTAGCTTATTCCCAATTTATTAGTTACAGTATCCAATAGCACAGCCACTTTTGGCGTGATCTTGTATAATGATTATTTTGCATTTTAAGTTGTGATGAGGTCTGGCCTGCTTGTATATAAACTACATATATCCGAAATATACAATTCATACAGTGGAAGGTGATTACGGTGTTCTTGACTGAGCGGGCCGGGTTAGGCAAAAAGCTACCACACAGAGTTGACTGAAGGCTGCTCGCGCTAATGAATGCATCACTGGTTTCGCACAGGGAAAAGGTCATATAAGTCGGTGTTCTGATTGGCGATTTTGTTGCGTGATATTTGACGACCCATAGGGTATAACGGAAGATAAAGGGGAATTGTGATATGTAGATATCAGAATCGAAGCTAGGAATCAGTGGCATATCAATTAACAAGACAAATGCTAACCTAACAAGGATAGAAATTTAGGCTCGTCGCTGAGCAAGTTATTAATCTGATGCAATTCTTACAGGGTTGATGGAGTGACCATACAACACCACCTTAACTGAACCGGTATGTACGTTAGAAAGAGTGGGTTGAGTATGCAAAATGGACTTTTATTAAGTTAAATCAAGGTACCATTATTACAAAAACGTCTGCATATAGCAGCTCACGTGCAACTGAGTTCACATTTAATTCGGTTAAGATCTTTTATCAACTTATTTAACGGACAGAGTCATCCATATCATAACAACTTATTGTACCTTTATTATTGTTGTGCTTGTATGAAATATGTATGCTTGAATATTGCTTACCGCCTACGCATATATTCATTCTGCTAGCTTTATTATTAGCTGCTTAATTGACTCGATGATCCATTCATTTCCCTATATATATACATGTACATTTAATCCTATATACACTTTCGACTCGCTGACTCACTCATTCGCCTCTCTGCTTTGCGGTCCGAGTTATCTGCTAATAAAACTGCATTCGCTGCTTCTCTTTGCCTTCTGATTTCAAACACCATTGAGGATTATATGATAACGGTTACGAAGGTGATTAGTTAATGAAGCACAGCCACTACATACATACAAAGTTAATTGATTTCAGATAAGAATGAAATCGTATATTCCGTTGTCGATGTCTTTATATACTGATATTACGTTTTAGTTTGAGCAACTCTAGTTTTCTTTCAACTTACTTTCACATCATCTAGATGTAAGCTACATAACAAAAACGTAATGGATTACTTTATGATCTCGTTAGTTTAATTTTCGTTCTAGTAATAAGTGCAGCAACTAGACCCAGTACATATTTATGCTAGATCATTTTGTTTACCTTACATTTAGTAAAGTTGGACCATTTAAGAAATAACAACAAACATAATCAAATTTACTGATCCAATGGACTTATATGACTACTTACTGTGAGTAAATTTTCTTTAATCAAAGGAGTCAACAAATGACTTTTCAACTGCAAAATAATACTTTTAAACTGATCAACTGTAATCGTTCCAGTTTTATCTTGATCCATTTGTTTAAAGGCTTGGATAGCATGCTCATTATTGAAGTCCTATATCATTCATGCACACACAGACACATGCAAATATATCGAAAGTAAAACAAAAGAGAGAATCGTTGTGATAAAAGATTTGTAACAAATTTAAGGAAACAATAAAAATGTGAATAGCAAATGACAGTTGAATTGAGAATTTTCCATTATTTTCTAATACATATATGTATATATCCGAAAATATAGCTGAATCAAAGTGTTCATTTTTTCAAGTTACATAAAAGCTTGCCGCACATGTTTTACAAAATAAGAGAACCGTCCACTGAATAATAACTTGTGTTTTTTTTAGATAATTGTTAATTTACTGTTTTGGAGCTATTCACTAGTTTGGACTGATCTGTGAAATAACCTTTGAAAATGTCTATTGGCGATAAGTAACAGTTGTATTCAGTGAATGGTCTTTGTCGAATTACAGTCAGGTTATACTATAAATTTGCTATTCACTTATATACTGTTTGTGTTTATTAAGAGTTTGGTAAAAAATGATGAATAATTAGCACTGTATCCCCTACCAGACTTTTATAGAAATTGGGATAATATCCAGTCTTGTTCACAAGTGCTTTTGATAGACGGCAGAATTTGATTCACATGTAGCTGTAGTAGCAGGATCTAGATCATCCATGTAAAACTAATTATTAATTATCTTTAAGTCTTTTGCTTGTTTCAAGCTCAATCTTCAGTGGGTTATAAGTGTAAGACAATCCGTAGTCATTATCGTTTAGTACTTAGATACCGCAAATTCTTTTTCAATAAGCCAACGGATCGTATTAAGTGTAACATGAAGTGAAATTAAATCACTTAACAACTAACATTTTATAAGCACCAAATTACGTCAGGGTAAAATGACTATGTCTCACACAATTATTTAAAGAATTACATATATATATATATATATATATATATTTAAAATTATATTTTACGTGAATTATTTGCGTGAATTCATCATAAGGAATTTTACGTGATCTATCCTTGGAAAAATGCAGGTTGATGAAATCACAATCGAAATTAAACGTAAAATCTTTATTCACCGATGTCATATCGAGTGTTTTCTTAAAATTGTCTAGGCGTAAAAAATAAACACAAAAGCATAAAATAAGTATTATCCAATGGAAATACACATAAATTCAAAACATGCTGTATTACTTATTAACATTCTAGGGAATTAATCAGACGAGTATGTTACGTCATAAGAATATGCTAGGTTTGAAGCGGTTACGAGTTCACTTAGACTGCGAACGGAACAAAGACTTGTGAGCTAAGACCAATAACTAGCTATTCTATTGCGTCCCCGCCCCGCTAACTAGAGAGAGAAACCGAAGTCCAAACGGGAAAGTATATTCCTAAAGCCAGAAGCATGAGCGAGCAATCACAACAGACACAATTCAAAAGTATATATACAGCATAAATTTGTCCTTGGAAGGAGTTACAAAATAGCATACTAAAATACACAATGGACCAATAGCGTTACCGATTCTCCCAAGTGGGAAATACGACATGAAGATGAAAAGAGCGCTTTCGGCGCGAAAGCAATAAAATTCAAATTTTCAAAGTAAAATTACAAAATTAAGGCATTTATTATGTGAGTTCTGGGGATCTAGCATCCCCAAGAGACAATTTGACTACATGCTTCCTATACCCAGTGTCAACGTGGTATATGAGTGACAAAGAACGACTAAGAAGCTATATCGGCAAACCGAATTCAGATGTACACAACTAATTGGTATATATATCCCTCAGATATTTGAGCCAAACCTTAATGGATTGTATAAGTAATTTTAATCAACGGCGTCCCCTTTTGGACATCTCACCTACAATCTGTGCACATATAGTGCGTACAAGCACACGATAGTCTGGATTTACTCAGCATATCAGAGGCCAGTTAATTCTATTAATACGAGCATATTACAACACAACTACAAATACTAAGCCTTTAGACTTTGGTTGATTTCCAAACCATCAACAGGAAATACAATAAAAACAACACGACTTCGACGCATGGAGCTTAACATGGTGGTTACATTGTTTTTGTTTTTACTTATAAATTTCAATATGACCATTTTACATGGTCAATAACTGAACAAACGAGAAAAGATTACCACAAAGACTTGGTATAATTTTTTAAACAGAGTTGAAAATCTTATATAAGTTTATGATTATCCTGAGAACCTGTTATATCGGCATAATGTTTTAGTATTACATGAAGTGGTTGATTTGGAAAAGCACTAGCCAATTGGATCCTCATTAATAATCTTTTTGATATGTTGGTATGATGAAAGGCTTAACTAGTCAGCGTAGGAACCAATGTCTTCTGGTTTTCTCTATTAACACTTTAACAAACTGTGAAATAAATGAAGTCGATAATGAGTTGTGTCACTGATTGACTCGTTTATAAAACCAAACACAGTTGACAAACATGATGGTGCTAGTGAAACAAACGAAGAAAACATGTCTGTTATATCCGAACAAAGAATAAATGAACGGCAACTTCTGCGAATTATTTTTAGACTATTATATATATATATATATATATATTATCATAAATTTTCATTCGACCCACTAACGACCATTATACGGTCTACTATTTCTAATTTATTTAAAATCTATTATTTACAGTCGACCCTGATAGCACCTACATTTGGCTTGATCCTGTATGATTGCTTTTTTTTAATGGTATGACATTTTTGTACTGTATATATACTCATGAGTTATGTACTTGTTCGTTCGTGCTTTCGACTGCTTGTGGAATATGCATTTCCTTCGACTGAATCTAGTCTTCTCCCCATAGTTATCAAGGCTGGGACACAATGGACTAGCTTAGCTTGTCCTGTTGTAGTGTTCCTGACTCTTGTTCCGTTCTCCAGGTTTAGGTGATATCGTAATCTCTTTAGACGTAGCATTAAGATAGTTGGTTTATAAGATGACACTGTTGAATAAAATATAGTTATGTTGGGATCAGTTTCTTCTAGCACTTCACAACACCTGGAATAACGTCCAAGGGATTGTGCATCTCAGACGTCATCAAATATAACTTAGAATATAAGAACATAGAATATACTGTGATTGTCAGTGAAAGTAAACTGGAGTAAATTAGGAATATTGTTTGTGCGGTTTTATTCAGAGATAGAATTTACTAATCATAAGGAATATTAGTCATGGTTTGTAATTGCCCCTTGTTGATATTCAATGACTGTAATTAACCAGTCACTGTTGCTATATATGTGCATCCTTGGGGCATCGCCTTGATATGGAGTTTTGCATAAGTTTTAGTATAATTGGTATGTAGTTAAAAATGCAATCTAGAACGCGTGCTTCGTCGTATTTAGAAACTCGTCAGCTGGATATGTCTGCACCGCAGTACTGATGTTCATGTTGGGACTCGAATCCACTATATTTTGCTGGAAACGCTCAACGCGTTCAGATAGTCAATAACTTGTTTAATCGATGTGAATATCATTGTCATGATGAAGATATGAACACTCAATTTCACTTACCAAATGATATGACCCCGAGGCCGTCTCGATTGAACAGTTCAAATGTCCACGAATATAAAGAGTCGCATGTGCACAGAAGAGCTTCAAACGCAAGAAATTCTTCGAAAGAAATCAATCTAAAATAAAAGAAAATATTCAATCCAATTATCTCACCAATACAACTGTTGTACGAAATTATTAATAAGAGATTACAAGACAGTTTTTTGAGGTAAAGTTATTCAATTCGTGATATTTTGGTAACCAATCAACTTAATATAGGATTATTAATAAGGAACTTAGCTTAGAAGTCACAGTGAAAAGTCAACTCATAAAATCTGAACACTATGGACTAGGGTAAGATATCAGTAACTATTGGGCAGAAAATTAGCATAGAGTATTCCTATATGAAGGTTAGTGCTGCCACTTATATTATCTGAGACTTTTCAGGTCTCAGTGTGGAACCAAAATCAACACTAATTAGTAGGTGGCTGTTCATGAATACTCAAAACAGTCGACTGTCATAGGATACACTCTGCCTACAAGCTAATTTCCTCCAATCGCATATGACATTTTATAGCGCTTACTTTGTGTTCACATTCTGAATATAAATATGTTATTCTATTACATGAAAAGCCTATTTATTCGGTAAGGTTTTCCCAATAATTTCTAGAGATTCGGGCGATTAAGTCGATAATACGATCTCATTAGCAGCCATCACTCGCCTACATCGTATCACCGTGTTTATCTATTGATTGGTCTTCTGCTCATTAATTCTATAAATCTAGATTTGACTCATTACTGTTATGACTGGGTGAAAGGTCAAAATTAAATTGATTTACTCATTATGATTTTTATTAAACATTAATTCCGTTTAATCGTTTATAAATCTCCATAACAAAGATGTAACTACCTTCTTTATCGGTTACATGAATAAGTAACTGATTACTTAAAACAAGCTTTTATGTCAAAGTTTTAAATCACCGTGCATTGATGGGCATGTGATACGCCTGTCTAGATCGTTAGTTCCTACCCAGTCAGTGGAATGTTCAACATAAGTGTATAGGGTGATATACCACAAGAGTATTATGGTGACGTACAAATGACAGACATTTGGGAAATGAAGACATCAGAACAAATTCGTCTCAGTCCAGGTCCCCACACCTCACTGAAAAAGATTGAACAATCGGATAAGTAACTAACAGTAGTCAGAAACCAGTTAGATAGATAAAACAAAAGAACAGAGTGGAACAGACAGATGGAAAATCTACGGTAACAGTATTTAAGACCTACTAGAAGATAATGAATGAACCGGCTATAATCAATTTAGGACCTGAAATAAGTGTCCATAGACCCAAGTCGATACTGCATTAATATATCGAAATGAAACTAACACAATGAATATCAAATGAGTAAAAATAACACAAAAACCAAAGCGAATATGAAGAATATGGTTCGAAAGGAATGTAAGAATTCTCTGAATAAAATATATGAGATCCAATCAGTACTAAAGACATAGATGAAGGTGAAGAATGGTTGCATCTGTATAGCTCTATTCCAGTAAATGTAAGCGAGGTTTCACCTAAACACTCCACAAATCATTGCTTCCTTTGTGTGGTATATGCTTCGGTGACGTATCAGAATCTATGGGCTTAAGTAGGAATATATAAAATAACGCTTGTAAACATATCGATAATCGAATCCTTGGGAGATATGAATATCTTCCACATTCACATTATCATACTTCACTCCTACTGAAAATCCATAATACTGCTTACTGTCCAAATATCGACAATTGAATCGGAATTCAAGTTGATGATCTATTGGGTACTGTTAAGTAACTGAACCAATAAAGTGCACCTCCACAGGCATAGCAAATGCAGCTACCTACCAAATACATAAATATCTTATAAGAAATTTCATCTAAATTTGGAAGAACGGTTTCACATTAAGGAGGAAAATTATATTTGCGAAAATCTCAGTGATTGGATTTCAAGTAAATCCAGTGTTTCTCTCGGCAGTCTGGCCCGAGTCTTTTCAAGGGAACATAGTTAAACATGAAAATTATTGATTATAAATAGGTACATGGTTCTCCAGTCAACTGTGTACTAAACAGGTCATCTAATTATGTTAACTATGTTGAAAGTAAGAATTTTTTGTAGTGCTCATGAGATATCTGGTGTGTAGAAAAGTGTTTTCACACACATAAATATTTATTTGGATTTTTATGGTTTTATTGTGATTTTATTTTTCCTTACACATATATTTACTATTGAGGTGAAAAAAAAAACAATCACAATAACCTTGATTACCCATCTTTTGTGGTATCGGCAGCACTAGCAATACAATTAACTGATGATACGTTGTAATTTTCTTCATTGAATAAACGTAGATATTTGACAGCGAAATCTTTCGAAGTCATATACATTTGACCATTCTTGCTAACACTGGCATACTATAGGTAGGAATAATAATAAACGTAAATGGGTAAATATCGTAGTTTTTAACACACAACTTAGTTCAGTGTAACTCATCTGATTTAGTTTACTGTATTCTATCATTAGAAAACAAAATGGTGTCAACTAGAGGACTGATCAGTTCTAATTGTTTGGTGATGGCACACTTGAAAAGGTACAATAAGTTTGAGCTTGTGTGTATTGATAAATTTAGATGACACAAAGATTGTTACTATTTAAATTAGAACAACATATATTAGAGGCAGGAAATGCCGTTTACATTCAACATCACCACACTTCGACTCAGTGGCCCCCTTATATCAATATAGTTATAAGACCTGAAGTTTATGGGTTCCTTTTAGTTGAACTGTCGGTGAATATTACTAAGGAGTCCTAAATCAGAATGAAACAGCCTTTTAGGGCTTCCTGAATTGCACTACTTGTAAAGCTATCAGTATACGATGAAGATTACATTAACGTAAAGTTTTCGATTAGTTACTCCGAAAGTTTTACTCCGATCAGTAACAAATATCATATTGTCTATTCCCTATTGGGAATTTAGTTCTACTGACCAAGTTGTGATGTAGATGTTAAACGAAGTGATTGGGTAACAGGGTGTACTTTGTTTCGTGTTAAGCGGCTGAAGATCGACAGGAAACACTGGATCAACTAGCCATGAAGGGAGATACTCAAGTACCCACTGTTTGGCGGGAGATAATTCAGGAGGACTAAGTGATTCTTACGAATAGCTACGGTCTTTAATTCCTCATTAGTCTTTTCAGATAGCGATCGGTACATGAGTCAATATTATTCAGTTAACTCTACTCGACCAACATAAGGAGTCAGTATCATTCACTATATAGGTGATTAGGAAACATATGACTAACTCTCGTAGACCGGCCTTTTGCCTGTCAATATTGCCCGACCATAGCTGCTACCTTGACGCAGTGGTCGGGGTTTATTTATTTATTTATTTGAACACATATATATTGGTACAGGAGTGCTATATTGACTGGAACATATGTTCCTGTAGGTTCTACCATGCCAGGCAGGTCGATTGGAGACAAATCCTCCTCACGTCCCTTTCTCACCTCGCACCGCTAGGGCAAACGATTCGAGTACGCGTGAAAAAGGGAGATCCACTTGACTTAGAATATGCCGATGACATAATTTTATTTAGTGAAGACGCTGACAAAATGCAGAGTTTTCTGACCAATCTAAGCAACAATGCAAGCATGTTCAGGATGCGATTCTCCCCCCCCCCGAAATTCAAAATGATGTATCAGGATTGGGTTGCATCAACACCCGAACTAATGATAGGGAGTGAAGTAGTCGGGCGTGTGGACCGCCTCACTTATCTTGGAAGTCTCATCAGCCCTTGTAGTCTGGTGTGTGACGAAATCTCAGCACGGATACAGAGGGCTCGACTAGCTTTTGCCAACTTGCGTCGTTTATGGCGTAAGCGACATACCCGTCTGCCATCTAAAGGACGGGTTTACTGCGCAGCAGTTCGCTCCGTCCTACTTTATGTCTGTGAAACATGGTCGGTAAGAGTAGGGGATATTCGTAGGTTACTAGTATTCGATCACAGATGTTTTCGAAACATCGCTCGTATATCCTGGGACCACCGGATAAGCAAAGTAGTTGTTGGGAAACGGGTTCTAGGTAGTAGAATTTATCCTTAATCGATTCCGGGCTGTAATCTGTCGAAACGCAGGTAGAAATGACGAAAAGACATTATTTCTCACAATTATTTTTTTATCACTTTGATGTTTCCTAATCTAGCAGCACAATCGATTTTTAACGGGGATCCAATGTAGGAGTAGATTGGAAGAAAACTAGGGGCGGCCAGATCAAAACATGGCACAAGTCTATGAAGTCACTGACAAGTGAACTGAGCCATGTTGATAGGTGTAGACTACTTGGTGATGGTTCACTTTTTAAGAATGACCATCATAATATATTAAAGGGTTTGACTGAGAAACTTCCCAGGGCATCGGAACAGTGTAGTCCTCAGACTAATATAGATAGTTGATTACTCTAAACTGTAACTATAACTCAGTAACACTAAACCCTGTTTATTGCAGGGTAAACATACCGTAAACTGGTTTACGGTATTGTAAGCAGTAACTAAAAAACATGACTAATAAATGCAGAAAATATCTGTAGACTACGTGTGTAGAATTACAAGTGTTCTTGTAGTGTTGTTTGTCTACAATAGAATCACTGAATGCGTAATGTAAGCACGGAGCTGTAGTAAAAGCGTCTGAGGCCATTAATCTGGGTGTTGGATTAGCTGGGGTATGTGTTATACAAGTCAAACCAATGTCAATCCTGTACAATGTTAAAAATCATTTATTAATGAAAAAAGTCAGCTAAATAAAACGAAAAAGTAACATTGTTCTAATGAAAAAACGAGTACATGATCAGAGTATTAAGTACAATAAACAGCGTTAACTGACCTTATTGAAAACCGACCGTAGGTCTTCCGTATTTGATTTCAAATGTACTGCCTAGAAAGAATAACACATAATTGTTAATTTAGTCGGCAAACGGTCAAGCCATAGCAAAACCAACGTGCTGTGTATCGATTCACAAATTATGCCTTTTGATATACCTATTCCATTAGGAATAAACTATTGGTTGGGAAGCTTTCTCAAACTAAATTGCTGCGATGTTGGTAAGTAGTTTACAATTAGATTTATACGAGAGAATTTTCTGTATACATTAGTTTGGATAGTCGTAAGGAATAATTGACCCGAAGTAGATCGACTACAGTAAGTTGCATAACGTTGTAGTGGTGATTTACGAAATCATTATCTGTTGTGGAGGGGGAGATTTAAACTTGTAATGAACGTTTGAAGATTGTGAAATAAACAATACTCCAGTCGACAAGTGGAATACGGTTGTAACGTGTATCCCAGGTGATAAATAACCACGATACGAGACTAGTGACAAAACCCCCTAATAAACTGAGATCAAGGAAAAGACCGCTAGCTTAACGAATAAGTTTTTTACTCAACAAAATAACATGCTTAAACAAAGACTTTTAACACAAAATAAGTATAATCAGATGTCACAAACGATTGAGGGAGATTAGCCTTGTAAGCTACTTGCTTTTCAAGGAATTAAGGCTCGACTGTTAAGCCTAACTCTTGTCTATCATACCGTTGTCGGAATAAGCTTTCACAATGGTTGGCCTTCGAATGTGTTTTTTAGATAATTTACTGATAAACACGCATGATGCTATTGTTGTGTGCTAGGTTCAAAGAGAATTGTATGCTATATGCATGCGAATCCGCCCCGTTATTGTTCCTAGCCCCCAAATGCCCTGGTACGACCGAGAGTCCGCTCTCCCTCTCGGAATGCTCTCACATGGCCACGTGTACATTGCTTTTGTCAAGGAAGTCCTACTCACTGCCTTCTCGCAGCATTACTGTTGTTTACGAAATTGAGAGGACGAAAAGCGAATGTTCGGCGATTTAACTAGGCCAGTGGAAACGGTGAGTCCACCTAAAGGAGTCGGAAAACCCTCATTCCAAACCAATGGTGCACATGGGCTCCAGTATCCTGAAGGAACACATGGCGTATGAACCAATTGTTGGTCACCGGCTACCATGGGACTGCATCTCCTTACGTTGCTTCATTGCTTTGTGGATCAAACCTTTGGGTCGAAGACTGCAAGTGTGGCCCCCTAAGAAAACCATCCGCTTCGGTTTGGGCACCCGGGAACTATCCTAGCCCTCACACAAATCGAATGACTTATGTGGCGCATATCTATTTGGTGCCTACTTGTACCAATGTGTCCAAATAATAACCACAATAATAATAATAGTGATGAACGAAATGATTACTCTTAAGTAATACTGATATTACAGGTGGAACGACTTTTAATTACTTAGATTCAACGTTCTCTGAAATTACATAAACGAAACCGAAGACTGAAATGAGGTTTAGATATACTAGAAAAGCTTGTGAAAAGAATCTTGAGTTATCCATTTTAATCCCGTAGAATGTAGAGTGGCAAGTTAAACGAATATAAACGTTTGACAAGTGATTTGTGAAATTGTATGAGATGCTGGTTATATAAGAGTTGGAATTGAAAGACGCAGATCATGGTTTAGACTAAGTTATGGTATCATAACTTGAAGTCGTGAAAGACTGATCTGAGTTATGTATGGAGCTGTAAACTGTGAATTTTGATAAAAAGGCATAAAAAGCATTACACAAGATGTCCAAAGACAAATAGTCTACTGTTTAATATTCGAAGCAATAATTACATCAAGGGATTAATTTATCGTGTCTAGTACTGTCACGCCTACACGAGTTATCCTAGCTTTCGGACGGACCAATCAATTTATTCTTTTTAAATTATTACCTACACATCTCACGACCTTGTCAGTTATTCACTTATAACCTTGACTGCTTTCATTTGAGCGTGTGCATATTGCTAACTTTATTAATTACATGTCTGGCTATAAATAGGGAATCACGCCTTTCGTTTCCGATCCACTTCGTTTCTACGGTAATAAGTGCTTGATATACATGTATACAAGAACTGTTCTCATAGTTGACTTATTTTATCCCGTTATTTACTAACTAGAATCAAGTCTATGATTATATGGGAGGGTAGGCGGGATGTATATTTGGTTAAAATTATTATCCGATCATATTGAGGTCAGATTATGAACCAGAAGAAATGTATTTATCGGTCAATTGGAAATGACAACAAATGTATACATACATGACTATAGAGATCATGGACCAATGACACAGGTTTTTTCAACTACCTCATTTTGATCTTACTCATTTTAGCTACTAATACTAAGCCATACCAAAACACCTTAAATACACCAAGAAGAGATGCTACGCAAAATGTCATATTGAGAGGACTACCGTGAGGAATTCAGTCCTTGATAAACAGATGGACAACCCGCACACGACACATCATTACGATTATTTTAGTTATTAATGGCTCTATATAGTACTTTATGCTTAGAATATAAAGTTCTCTGCATGCCACAGGTGCCCCAAGTTCGTAAAAACCCAAAAGGTTCCTTATATTTGTGACTAGATTTGATCAAACATCAACTGAATAATGTCAATAAGACCATCAGGATAAGCAAGTTGTTCGACTCACCATATTACTTTTTATCCCCAAACAAAGTAGTGACTGTGTCCAGTCACTGAAACAACTCGTAACTCTCAACCATAAAATTTTAAGATCAAAGGCCGTTTTACTTACTCTGGTTTGAGCATTCATTCAGCATACTTATTCCTTACATAAAACGTAATTGAAGGCCGAGTATAATAACATCCATGTCATAAATGTTTCATAATACCTGTATTGTTCCATTATTTTTTCCAGTGAGAATCGCACCTCAAGCATTTTAAAATTGTTAATCGAGATATTTAGGAAATTGTATCTTTTCGAGCACTACCGAATACGGCTATTTTACTGTGTACCCTGAGTTGATCAAAGTCTCTAAATAGATCGATTGTTAAAGATTCGGATAGAGAAAAGCTTATTTTCGGAGTATAATTCTGAGAAAATGACCAAGAATCGATTCCTGACTAACACTTCACGAGCAGCTAGTTTGAATAGGTGATCGTAAGTTAAGGACTAATCACCGATGTCTGAATCTAGTTCGCACTATGGTGGTACAATTTAATTGTACAAACCCCTTAGTAACAAACATTCCAGGAAAAATGTTCAGTAGACAGTTAAATGTCGTCTTAGTTAATAGGAATACGGTGCGTTTCAACAACAAGCAAATGACTTGTTTGATACAAGTTATAGTTCAAATCTGTCTGATTCTCTAGCACTTTTCGATAGCTTCAATTGTGTGGAATCCTGAAATGTTAAGTAGCTAAAACTAAGTGGATAGCCATACTAAAATATCGAGTTTTGGAAGTATGTCAAACGCATGACGCGGAACTAGTCTAGTACAGTGTCATTTGCCGATCATTTTGAGACTACAAGTTTTGGCTAGTAGATTGGTGTTACGCTGACCGCTACGAATTTTTGGCACAATTACACATTTAGACTGTAGACCTAGTCATCGATGAATGAACGTTCGACAGTAGCAGTGTCATTGGATCTTAAGGTATACAGGAATTTTAGCAGCAGTTCTTCCAATGGCGTCAACAATTGTGCCGAATTGTTCACCACTATTCATTACATAATAATCTGATACGATCTTAGATTGAATGTGCTTTTCATTTTCCATAAGTTAGTCTAACGACATCGCTTTATTACAGGCTTTAAGGTTCTCGATCAAAAAACGCTTTCGCTCATCACTGTAAACCACTATTGGGACCAGCTTATGAACAGTGTAGCATAATGGCTATCTGTATCCAAATAGAAGTAGAATACAACGTAGAATTATCAAAAGTAATTATGAAACATATGTTGAGATCATTACTTGCTAACTAAACACATCGGATTTAAGTGATTCAGATAGAAAGTCGATAAACATAGTGATGGACAAATAGTGACATATTATCTTGCGATATATATAAATATATACATATATATATGTATATATATATATTTATCGTGAACAGTAACCAAACCCACCATATGGTGGAAAGAAAACGAATCGTGCGCTTTCTCGACTATAACGGCCTTGGACTGGTGTAACTATTCACATAGTTTCAAGTCATTATGGGTGGAGCAAACTTGACTAACTTATCCCTATAGCTCAACCGGCTTTATTGGACTTCCAATGCTTGAGTATCCTATGATAATATTTCACGAATGATGGTTACATGTACCACTATTCTTGACTCATAAAAATAGTTTTCGGTTATTTATTAGAACACAGTCAGCGCTTTTTAACATGAATTACCCAAATATCATGCCATTCATAGCTGATATTTGTCTACGGTCTTGTGGTTGATGGCAGCTGCCTCCGTTAGTCAATTGTGTTGAGGACAACCATAAGTCTGCTGAGTATCTCATTGCTGAATTGCTTCTACATCTTGGAGTTGTTGAGCAGCCAAAAGTACCGTCGCTCATACAGGTTCTGTTACATCGTTTGAGGCTGTTGTTAGGATCTAGCCTAGACATAGGTTTTATAGAACTCTAAAGTGTGTTTATAATGAGGAGCCCCTTGGAGTATGTAAGTGGCTGATACGGAATCCCATATGAACCACCATAAGCTCTCTGAGATTGAAAACCAAACCACAGTTGGTCGCTTAACTTTGAATTGGAGTCAGATATTCCTGAAGAGATGTAACTCTCCGTTTAAACTCCCCAGTATTACTTCGCCAAACCCCTTTGTGAAATAGTGAAATGAAAATGCGACTGTCAAATCTACTGGAGGAATGTTTCAAGCACTCGCATATACGTAGCAAAGGTAGCATTACACTGGACGAGGACTCAGTGGGGACAACTGATTTATTGTTCCACGCAAAATTATACAGTGTCTTAGTAAAATATGGAAACCACATATTAAATACATTATTAGCACATATTCGTTCGGTCGTGGTTTGCATGCTTTAGTATTGTTTCGATTTTATTGTTATTACAGTTGCCATCTGTTCCCCTTGCTGTTCTCAATCCAACCTTCTATTGGCAGGCGCTCTACTTCTGATTGGTGTTACATAATACTAATGTCCGTCAGTAGAAATAGCATACACCATAATAGTAGGTATATGTGGAACTTGGCTGACTGGTGAGTACAAAATCTGTTCAGCTAAGCTTGATGCACATTACATATAGTCGAAATAGTGTGCGAACAACGGACAAGCAATTAAGTTAGAGACAGGGATGGACAACCAACGTATCCACCATCATATGCGTTCGGCTGACTGATTTAGCTGCTTAAGTGTTTTCATCAATATGAAAATACAACGACCTGTCTATTCGACAAGCTTTTATGACAGATGGTAGCTATATAGTGATGCAGTTGTATGTAACTCAAAGAAGTTTGTTCCAAGTTGACCTATCCTGTTAACTTTGAACATCTGTTTACGACCTTTTAAATGACCTTTTATGTACTTTTTATGTACTTTTGGACATTTAGACTAACTAACAAGGATCATATGACTTCTCTATGTCTAGTCATTGAACTGTTCATACTCCCTGACGGTTTTGAAACGAGTGCTGTTTTGTTGGTTGGCTGTTCTCTCCAAGTATGGGAACAGACAGATCTTGTATAACCACATGCCTGTCAGACAAATCAACATAGTAGTTAAGCCACTTAAAAAACGTATTCGGGCTAAGTTGCCGAGTGTCCTAGAATCATACAATCTGTTAGCTCCTGAGTAACACGGGTTTCGGAATAAGCATCCGTTTTTAAATAGCTAATGGAAAAAGAGCTAAGGGCAGCAGCCGGAGATAAAGTTTTGTTTATCAGTATGTGATCCACGGATTTTAGCATAGCATTTAATATGGTTTCTCACCCAGGTATTATGCAGAGCTCTTGAGCTTTGGAATAACGGGTCCTGTACAAGAGTGGATAAGAAAATTTCTCTGCGACCGAAGATAAAAGATGAGAGTAAATAAGATATCATGAATGAGAGCTGATCAAAACTAGTGTACAGCAGAGTGCCAGCTTAGGTCCTCTGATTTTTTTCAGTGACTACCCGAACAAGTGGTGTCAACCCCACCGGTGAATATTTTCAAGGGGAAGCTGGATCAACTGGTAATTGAGCCACGAGGATTATGCTACGAAAATAGACCTAATACAGTAATGTGAACTTAATATGAAATGACTGCCTGATCTATAAGATCATACGTAGAAGTCACACCTTCGTCTATACTGACTTATCATAACGCAAAAATCAGCATCATGTCTTTTGTGAACCTTTGGAGAACATATTTGTGGTCTGGATAGGATATTTAACAAAAAGATCATGAGGCTGTATGAGGTGATTACGCCCGCATGACTGAGTCACGCCATCTCCACTAGGTGTCTCAGACCTAATCTTGTTTACTCTAATCCTTGTGTTACATAATTAATGTTGATCTTTTCGGTTATTGTGTTCAGTCCCAAGGATCGTGTGTTTTGAATCCAATGCTGCAACAAATCTTCCCGCTTGACTCTTGAATTTATACATTAAGACATGTGGATTAGCACAGTTGGAATTACTGGACACTACAAAGTAGTTTTAATGTTAGCGTGCTGAAGCCCGACCAGTGAATTCACCAATAATTTTACTCCTACGGATATGACATACCGAAATACTCATTTACTAGGAAGTAGCATAGATATATGTAGGGTCTCAACCCTCGAGCAATGAGCCATTTAATTTAATGGAGAATGTATGTATCAAAAGAAAACCAATCTAGGAAGTTAATAATAAATATATTCTTTGTCATATCTCAATAGGTAGAATAATTGAATTTCTGACGTTTCGTGAATTCTTGACACCAAATTTTTATTTACTCTAAAGAAGCGACCTACGTGGAGTCACGAAAAGCCAGAAGTAAAAATTTTCTACTCGTTGGGATATAACATAAAGTATATTTGTGATCAACTTTCTACTCAAATCTCAATTTATTTGAAACTATCAAGTCCAACCTTGGCATTGATAACTTTAGACAATTTGGATGGTGTGTGATGTACAATCCATGCAGTAGGCGTAAAGAAGACACTGTTACGGGAGGAACCACCGTTGTTTAACCGACTGTTAACTGTTATATTTGCTCTACTCAACTTGCTTGTTTATACTTTTGACCATGGACATTTTTGGTTTCGCACTGATTTGATTTGGTACCTTAAGGACAATTATTTGTAAATCAATAACTTAGATGATCTCTGTCGAATGTTTGGTGGCCTACTCGATTTGACAGAAATGGGTTGACCAACAGCTAACTTTATAGTCGTACCTCGCAGTCAGAAAATAACGAGGTTTATCCCTTTGTCGTGCCATGGTACTATTACTGCTTTAAAGACCGTACAACACAAAGTAAGTTGTTACAGAGACATATTAGTAAGAGTAGGTACAAGCGAATGTGCGACAACCACTGCATGGGCCAGTCCATGACTTACGATTAACTGATGTGCGCTGGTTATCCTTGATTTTGACGGAGATAAATGAACTGTTCGATATTCAGTGACTCAACTGCCAGTGATTTGGTTACGGCTCAGTGACATTTCACTAGCCCTACATATTATTTAAACAAGATACCTGGAGTGGCTACTCATGATATACGGACAAACCTTCTACTCCTGTGTTGGAATTCGGTTTTCTTTTTATTCAGGTCACAAGTTACAAATGTATCGTCCGGCCGTCTTTCAAGAACTTGTAGTGACTCACATTTATCACGAGAACACGACTGGTTTAATAAAAACAATTATTATTATAACCAAGTGTACCAGTGACTGTTTTAACGTGCTTTTGTTTGACTGTGCTAATGACAGCTATTTTGTTCTTTCATTCACTTACTTACACTTTGATTGTAACTTCGCGCGAATCCGGTTACCTTCTGTAACCAAGGTTGTATCCTGGCACGATCTCGGTATCCTTTCGATGCCACGAGATCGCCAGCTAATAAACCTCGACTTGGTCCATTAATTGCCTTCTGGTATTCGGCTTCTCGGGGATTTTATGGAGTCATTTGGAACGAGCTTCTTACGCCTTCTGATCTAATTGGCACGTGTATCTTGGTAGCGGTGTTCATAGTTAATCTCAACTCGACGCCACGCTACAATTGGTAATCCCAATTCGACAACAATTGGTGACCCGTATTTTGGAACACGCCTCAACTTCTGATCAAATCTCTCAAAGAAGCCAATTCGGTGAGTCTATGATTTATCTATCCACGTCTGTCGTATGTTTTCATATTTTTTAATATATAATATACGCGACATGACGGATAACGATAATAATAGTATTAATATAATAGACTCACACGTATGTGTACCGAATCCTTGTCACTTTTTATTCGCGTGATGATGAATTCCACGCTCTATTCGAGGAATGTTACCCTATTAACGATTCTCCTCGCTGACCCGGCTGCTTGGTACGGAATGCATACGCATAAGCATATCCGTCTACCACCCAGCACCAAATGGTTAAGTTGAACGGTTTCACTGCCAACTTAAAAGTGTTCTACGAGCACACGAAAACGGCAACTGGCACGAAACCTTACCGCTCGTTCTTTTAGGGGGGGAGAACGAGCTTAAAGGCAGATATCCAATGTTCCGCCACTGAACTTGTATACGGCACGACATTGCGTCTGCCCGGAGAATCCTTCACACCACGGAGCAGACCTAATTTCGGTAAATCAGACAACGTCCGTCGACTGTCTGCATTTATGTGAACGCTGTCTCCGGTGTCAACTCGAATACAACATCGACAGGTCGCTCTCCCTCGAGAGTTATCTACCTGTTCACATGTTTTTGTACGAGTAGATTCGGTACGCAAACCTTGGCAACAACCTTACGAAGGCCCTTTTCACGTGATCGCTCGTCACGAAAAGACCTTCAAGGTTGATCGACATGGACGCGTCGAGATCGTCAGCGTTGATCGTCTCAAACCAGCACACGTCGATGACAGTGCCCTATCTGGTAACCTGAGATTCAATGCTAGACCTATTAAACCTAGCGGGATCCTTAAATCTTCAGGTCCCACGCTAGATGCATCTGAGACCTCATTCTCACGTCCCGGTCA